TTCCTAAATAGACCTAGGTGCTTCTTGAGCTTGGTTGTGTTTCCTTTGTAAGAATCTTTTTCTACTTAGTGGAGTGCCTGGTCGGTTGATGACTCCCAGTTTTTCCCAATGGTGGGTTTCTGGGTGAACAAATCTGTTTTGCATATCTGTAATTTTTCTGGGTTTGTGTTCTTGTTGGTTGACTAGTCATCTGTATCCGCTGTTTGATGTTTACATGATAATGATGATTTCACACACTTTCACCATAGTTGTTGCTAGCACAGGGGATGCCTAGATTGACGGGTCCTTCTGAGTGCCTAGGTTGTCACTAGTAATCTCCTAGGATTGCAGATACATTGTGGCATGCTCTGTGTATTCTCTTGGTTGTGATTGTTTCATGACTAGTAGTTGACTAGTCATATGTGTATTTGGTCAAGGTTTAAAGTGTGTGAAGATTGCTGTGTTGTTGTGCCTTGTTTGTGTGATTAAATTTACCCCTCGTCACCTAAGTACCATTTTCAGTTTTTACTTCCGTATGTAAATCTTGTAAAGTAACTTCTTTCCTTCTATTAAATCTTTCTAAAGTTGTGTTTAAGCTTATTTTGGGGAAATTATTATTTTGACTTGCGTCTTCTTGTCCTATAACTTTTCGTAATTTCCTTAAATATTCAGATGTTAATTCTGGATTGTCAATCTTACTAATTAGATCTATTAATAACTCTTCTTGTTCTTCCTGTTTTGTGAGCATACTTATTGATTTGGTTATCCAAATTGGATTTGTGGAGAGCTTGTCTGAAAGTTTGAGGAGCCATAGTCTTCTGAGCTTGTTACTGAGATATCATTTTCACTAAACTCAGAATTTTTTAATTCTAAAACTTTGATCAGTTGGGCTTTGTCTTCTTATGAAATCTTTAACTGCTTTATTGTGTCTTTTACTTTACATTCATTAGCATAGTGACCAAATTTCTTACATTTCCAACACTCAACTTTTCTTTTGTCTGTATTTTTCTTAAAGTTACTTTTCTTGTCTTTTTTTGGTGTTTTTGACCAATTTTTTCGAGGGTTAAATTTTTTCTTACTATAAAATTCATCATTATGCCTAAAGGATTGTTTCCTATGTGAATAATGTCTATTTTTACTAGCTTGTTGGTCATTATTTCGAGTCTTGACTTTTCTAGAGGGGGAATGGGTACTAAACCGTATTGTTCACAAAAATCTCCTAATTCATATTTGGCTGACTTTCTGTCTTGACTTTATTAATTGTACTAATTATATTACCATAAGTTAGATTATCAAAATCTATATGGCCTTGGTCGTTACTTAAAACTGTTCAAATCTTATGAGCAAACAAATTGGGAAGACCATTAATAAATTTTTCTTTCGTGAATGGTTGATTACTATCATCTCTTAACATAATTCTAGAAATAAAGACATCTTTATACCATCTAAAATCTCTTAACTCGGGATACCTGAGATTACTAAGCTGGTCATGGATTATGGCAATAGTATTACTAGGTGTTCCTATAAAATGTTCAATTATGGTATATAATAAAGTATTGACTCCATCTTCTATTCCCATACCTAATCGCTCATAAAAAATAGGGAGACCTTCTTCAATTAGTTTTACTGCATGTGTGATTTGTCGTTTTGACTCTTCGATTACGTGTTTATCCCACCAAGACGTAAGGTTCCTGTAAATCCAGTTTCTAAAGGCATTCTCAATTTTTGATATATTACTAGAATAAGTTTCGTTACTGGTTATAGACTCTGTTTCAGAGGTATTGACTAAATTGGAGGACTCAAGGACCTTGAGGCCAGAAGGTTCAGGTTTTTCTTTTACTGGGGTTAATTGTTTAAGCATTTCTTCAATCTTTTCCATAGTGGGACTCGTCTTGAGAGTGGAACTTGACTCTAATTCTTGGAATTTGACTAAAGGTTTTTCTTTCTGAGACTTAAGGGATTTTTGTTGAGGGACTATTTTGTCTATTTTTGTCTCTATCTTATCTAATTGTTTTCCAATGACTATTAGACTCTGGTTTGTATAATTATTTTGCTCAATTATTTTTTTGTCATTTTGTTCTGGAATTTTGAAAGGACTTGCCTGAAGTTTAGTATTTTTATGGGTGATAACTATTGTTTCAGTAGGAGGGTGACTGGCTAGGACACAATATTATCTTCTTTTTTCCATTTTTCTTGGGTTAAAGTTTTTAATTCTTTGGTCAAATAGTGACTTTCAACAAAATCAAGGTAAAATATTTCAAACTTGGTATTCTTCATAAAAATTTTCCATTGGTTAAAAATTTGTTGTCTTTGTTCTTTACTTGGGTAGGCTGTGAGATAATTATTTCTTCGGTTCAGATTTTCAGGGGCGTGTAAATTATTGTCTAAAATTTTCCAATGAATTTTAAATTCTTTATTAAGGGTTCGTAACTAATTGTCTACTGGAAGAATCAGTTTGTGTGGGAGAATCTGGGGAATTTGATTTTTCATCTTCTTTGACTGGTTTCATACCATAACAAGGGTGGTTGACTTGGGAAGTTTTTCTTAAGGATTCTAACTTTAAATCAATTAACGTTTTTTCTAACTCGGCAGGAGTATGTCTAAGGGATTGACTAAGTGTTGGGAGTTGTTGTATCTGAACTAAGGACTTGTGAGGCTGGTTTCCAAAATTTATTTTTACTGTACCATCAAAATATTGTTGAATATAATCCAGATTATTCAAATTATGCTGAATAGTTGTGGGTTGATTTTCTGTTGTTAGTGTCCAATCCAGAGGTAGAGTGACTTCTGACCATTTGATTGTGTGGGGGACTCTTATATTAGCATCGGCTTTACTACTTTGAATAAGCAAGGTTTGGTCTTTTGGACTTTTATTAAGAGCTTGGAAATTCATATTAGTTCTTGTGACTTTATAATAAATTCTATAGACTAAAGCTTAAGGTTGGGTACCTGGAAAGACTTTATACTCAAAAGTTTTAATGTTTAATGTTAGAGTTTTTAGTATGTGAGGATCACTAAGGCGTACTGTGAAGTCTGGGTAACAGTCAAAGTGAATTGGACCATTGAACAAGCTTGACTCAATGATTCCTAAGGTACTATCACCAAAGTTGGTAAATCTGGCATCACGCAGGCAAAGTAATGTAGAGGCATTTAGTCCTAACCTGGTAAGGGTTGTGACTGCTACTTGAACAAGGCCAATGTGAAGGAAATTGTTTCCATCACTCTTTCGTTTCTTTATTGACTCAAGGTTTAATAATTGACATGTTTCGTGTTTTTTACTCAAGGTATAGACTTGTTCGACTATTTTCACATGGGTTGTACTTTTGAAGCTTGAAAGTGACCATTTTTCTTGAAAATTTCTGTACTAGGGATTTTGGGGATATTCCAATCTTTGTAGTCAATTTCATAACTAGTTTCCTATTCTATTTGTTGTTCATTTACTATTTTCGGGAGTTTACTAATACTGGCTCTTATATGTGTCTCTAGAAACCCTCCTGGTACCAAAGCCATAAGTGTTGAAGAGTTATTCTAATTACGCTTCTCTAAATTCAGAGTCATTGGTCATCCTACTCTGTGTTTCAAGTTTGCTTTTCAGTTATAACCCTTTTAGTGTCCTCCTGTATACCGAGTCCTTTCTCTCAACCCAAAAAATAAGTCCCAGGTGAGGCATGAGCGGAGAGAGAGAGAGCCCTTCAGTCTTCAGGAATCCTTGAACTTGTTATAGGATTGTTCGCTTCCCTTCTTACCCTCTGTAAGAAAACCAGTAACTTTTGTCCAGATGAGTTGCCTTTTTAGAACAAACTCTTGTAAAAGTAGTAGTTCTAGAGCAAGTATTAGCAAACTCCCGGAAATAGTAAATGAAGAACAAATAGAATATGAAACTAGTAATGAAATTGACTACAAAGATTGGAATATCCACAAAATACCTAGTACATAAATTTACAAGAAAAAATGGTCACTTTCAAGCTTCAAAAGTACAACCCATGTGAAAACAGTCGAACAAGCCTATGCCTTGAGTAAAGAACACAAAACATGTCAATTATTAAACCTTGAGTCAATAAAGAAACATAAGAGTGATGGAAACAATTTCCTTCACATTGGCCTCGTTCAAGTAGCAATCAAACCCCTTACCAGGTTAGGACTAAATGCCTCTATTTTACTTTGCCTACGTGATGCCAGATTTACCCTAAACCCCAAACCCTATATATATATAAGTGTTTTCAAAGGCATGCCTTCGCGCATATCGGAGCGAGGCGGGAGGAAAACGCCCTAGGCCGTCGGCTGTTTCGCGAGTTGCACGTTTAGCGCTGGGAAGGCGTGAGAAGGTGTTGCAAGGTGTAGCAAGGCAGAGCGAGACATTGCAAGGCGTACCAGATCTAGAAACTTCTGAATCGGAAGAAAGTTGGGAATCTACAAATTTTCTACGAGAAAGACGACTAGCTTTTTATTTTTTAGGTTTATTGTAATGAAACAACGTCATTTTGATTGCAATGTTTTAAAAACAATCTTATAGTGAAACGATGTCGTTTCACTTGGAGTGTGTTGAAAAAATTAAAAACGCAAGTTTCAGTTTTTTTTCCCTCACCTTTATTGTAATAAACTTACGGCAAGAATTAATATCTTTCTTCTTTTTTTCCTAACTCCCACCGACTGTAGCTTTTGTACTTACGTTTTTTTTTCTTTTCTTCTTTCTCTAAATTAATATATTAAAACATGGACTATATATATATATATTGTATAGTACGTGTACAACCCTAATTTCTACCCTTACCAGATAACTCCATCAATTTCAAGAATTCTCTTCATCTTTCGACTGCAAGTTTTTTTTTTTTTTTTTTTTTTTTTTTTTTTTTTTTTTTACATGCATCATACTTGTATAATTTGACTGTAATAAACTGTAATTTGAAGTTTCGTATAATTTTTTTCAATTTTTTATATAAATATACTAGTTATCTTATTCGTTTATGTGATATAGTAGAAATTTGATGTACATGCATCATACTTGTATCTTAGAAATATTAATGGTATTGTTTTATGGATATGAATCAAAAGATCCTGCGTGGAAGTATGCAAAAGAAGTAGAGGGGGAAAAATACTTGAGATGCGCATTTTGTGATCAAAGATGCAGTGGAGGAATTTCTAGACTTAAGCATCATTTAAGTCAAACTCATCATGGTATGCAACCATGTAAGAAAGTTCCTGAGCATGTGAAAAAAGAGTGTGCCGCAACTTTGAAAAATCTTCAGCTTGAAAAAAGAAAGAAAAGTGAAATGCTTAAAGAGATTGGGGATGGTCTAGGAGGAGGGGCTCTGAGTATGGAAACTTCATTGGATGAAGAATATGGAATCCCTGGTACTAGGAGTGCTGCAGTTGATGAGGCTCTTAGAGCACAACCTAAATCGAAAGGACCAATGGATAGATTTGTCACTTCTCTAGAGCACTCCCATTTAATATTATAAATGATCCATTTTGGCTACCTATGATGGAAGGGATTGCCGCATATGGTGTAGGATTTAAGCCTCCGTCAATGCATGAGTTGAGGACTTGGATCCTTAAGGAAGAAGTTGGCGACATTAATACGATGATGGAAGAACATAAGAAAACTTGGGCAGAGTATGGATGTACTATTATTTCTGATGGTTGGACTGATGGTAAAAATAGAGTACTAATAAACTTTCTTTTGAATAACCCAGCAGGTACTTGATTTTTGAAATCTATTGATGCATCTGATTCCATAAAAAATGGAACGTTATTGTTCAAATATTTAGATGATGTTGTCAAAGAAGTTGGAGAGGAGCATGTCATTCAAGTAATAACAGATAATGCTTCCAATTATAAGAATGCTGGAGTGAAACTTATGGAGAAGAGGAAGAAGTTATGGTGGACTCCATGTGCTGCCCACTACATTGATTTGATGTTAGAAGATATTAGCAAAATGAAAGTTTTTGAAGATACAATTAGACTAGCCAAGCAAGTAGTGAAGTTTATTTATGGGCATACATGGGTTCTTGCTTTGATGAGATCTTTCACAAAAAACAAAGAGATAATTCGCCCTGCAATCACACGGTTTGCCACTTCTTATCTTACTCTTCAAAGCATCTATAAGCAAAAGCAACCTCTTCAGGCAATGTTTTCTTTTAGAGAATGGCATAATGGACCATTTGTCTAACATAATGAAGGTATTAGGGCTCGCTCAACTATACTATATGATGTTAATTTGTTGCTTTTTGCATCAAAAGTGTTATGACATTAGTATCGGTTTTAAGAGAAGTTGATTCAGAGGAGAGACCTGCTATGGGATTTATTTATGAGTTAATGGATGTTGCAAAAGAGAAGACTGCTTTTAATTGTGGAAAAGTTGAAAGAAAGTATAAACCAATTTGGAGAAGAATAGACGAAAGATGGGGCCTACAACTTCATCAACCTTTACATGCTGTTGGTTATTATTTGAACCCTCAATTGCGTTATGAAGAAACCTTTTCTAATGGTAATGAAGTGAGAAAGGGATTGGAAGATTGCATGACTAGGATGTTGTCTTTTGAGGATTGTATGGCTGCTGATATCCAGTTGGACTTGTATGATGAGGCAAAAGGAGAGTTTGGAAGTCGTCTTGCTGTGAATTCAAGGAAACTACAAACTCCAGGTTATAATCTTTACTTTTTCATTTTCATTCGAGAATAATGAACACTTGAAATAAATGTTAAACTTAATTAGATTTGTGTTTTTTTTTTTTTTTTTTTTTTTATAATTGGAATTGGAAGGGATTGGGTTGGGAAAGGGACACACACTGAGTTGATGAAGTTTGCTATTCGGGTCCTTAGCCTTACTTGTAGTGCATCTGGGTGTGAGAGGAATTGGAGCACATTTGAGCAGGAAAAATTCTTCTATTAATTTATTGTTCAAATTTTGATGCTTCTAAATCTAATTTTTTATGCTTATATTCATTTTAGATTCATATAAAGAAAAGAAAAAGACTTGAGCATCAAAAGCTCAATGCTCTATTATATGTGAAGTATAATATGGCACTAAGAGAGAGAAGTATTAGAAGGAGATCAAAGATTTATCCAATATTGGTGAATGAAATTGAGTCCGATGATGAATGGATAGCTGAGATTGAAGAACCAATTCTACCAACTGATCTTACTTGGCTTAATTCTCAAGAATTATATGATGTTGATGTCATCAGAAATATACCCACTGAACCTTATGAAACTGATCTACATACTCAAGTGCCTATTTCTTTGGAGCCTATTGGTGATCCTAGGACTCAAGAGCGAGGGAATATTCATGTTAGGACTCAAGAGCCTATTGTCCATTCTAGAACTCAAGATCCTATTATTGATGATGATCTTATTCTTGATGATGATGTTCTTCTTTCCTCGTTAGCTTCAAAAAAGAGAAAAGATGGTGAAACCTCAAGTAAGTATGGAAAGTAAATCATGGAGTGAAAGTTACAATTAGTGTTTAATTCATTACCACTAAATTTTATAATTTTAATTCATTGTTCATATGAACAGGTAAGAGGAAAGTCAAAAGCAAGTCCATAAAAGCGATACTTATGGATGAAGATGATGAGATAGATAAAGATCCTTCAACATTTGATAATGGGAAATATCCTTTTCATATTGATACAGTTGATCAATATGATAGTGATGCTAGTTTGATTGATATTAGTGTTGAGGAATGGGATGAGTGAACTATGTTTTGGGATTGATTATTATGTTTTGAATGACAATTAGTATTTATATTTGATTATATTTAAAAGATTGTTATGGTTGAATAAGAATTAGTTGTACAATTTAATCGTATTGTATTATTCATAAATTTTTCTTATTAAAATAACTTAATGTTCAAAAGGCTTACGCCTCAATGCTTCAAGGCTTACGTCTTGCATAGCACTACTAAAAACGCCTCGCATATATGCCTCGCCTTTGAAAACATTGATATATATATATATATATATATATATAAACATTGAAATTTGGAATTGCAAACTTAAGATTTTATTGATAGATAGCACTCATAATTTACAATGGTGGTTTTCCTAAGGGAGTCTCAGAGAAAAGTTTGAAAACTGAGAAAACTAAAATTATATTCTAAGTTACATTCTAACTACAACTGGGGCTGAAGCCTCTTTAGGTAGATCGATACTACCGGACTGTTGGTAGCATTGGATGCTTACTATTGAAGCATGGGTCATCTGCGGGAGCTATTATTCTTGTTTTTGACTTGTCTTTTCTTTTACTTTTTTCTTTGGGAAATATGCTGGTGTAATCAGGTTTTAGAAATAGTGTGCTGAAATGATCAGGCTACAAATTGTGTTCTAATATAATCACTTGGGGACGTGAAATGACCAAACTACCCTTCATATAAAAACATATCTATTGGGGAGTTATTGGCAATTGATTGGTGACCGAAAACTTCTGACCTCGCTCTCTGCGTTCTCTCTTCCTCTCTCAGCGTTTTATCTCTCCACCGTCGCTCCATGACCACCACCACTCTGTTTCTCCCACTCTCGCGAAATCCATCCCTGTGTCAATTTCTCAACAAAAAAACTCAATCTTTATCCCCTATCTAGGGTTATCTGGTCTTACAAGTCCAACCCAGAAAAATAAAAGCTTAGCCAAAGCCTTGAATACATGTCCTTTAAGTTTTATCCTTTATATTTTCTTTCCTGAGAAGAAATAATGGACACAATGGACGAAATCAGAGTCGATTTTCTGCCTTCTGATAGCATTTACTTCATTGTGGGAATCATTAACAAGAAGCTCGATGTGAATCAGTTCCAAAATGTCCATTCTTGCCGCAGTGGGCTATCAGATTCTTGTCTAGGATTGTTGAAACGGGGCATCCAGGTATTTATTTATAACCTTTCTGTTCTGATTACATTTTGACCTTTGCGTTTCTATTTTTATTGAAATCATTTTGTGAGCTTTTCAATATGTGTGTTTCTTTTGGGATTCTTTCAATTGTTTGTTTCTGGGTTGTTGTTCTTTTGGTCCTGTTCTCACGTAGATGAGCAATTGCATATGGATTTATAGTGCTGGAGCTAAATAAGATATATTAAAGTATATTTTAAATCTTGGAGTGGTCTTCTTTATTAAAAAAGGATCAGTTTTCTTTGTAAAGATTCCCCCTTTGTTTATGTGTATGTATGTGCATACATACAACTCTTGATATTTATCAGAGGTTTATTTCAATTCCTGGATAATAGGGTACCTGTTTCCACATATGAAATTGCACTCAAAAATCTTGGAGGAAGATTAACTGCTATAAATCAGGTAAACATGTAACAAGAAATGCAATCCTTGAACCTAGCTAGTAGAATTCTTTTGTGAGTTAGCTTTGATATTTTAAGCAAGAAATTGATGTGGGTTAGTTCAGCAACAAACTATATGGGTTTGGATTGGATCATATCTAACTTTGTCTTCTGCTTATTTTATAGTTAATGATCATTTCTGGAGTGTCCATTTCCTTCAAAAATGGGGTACTAGAAAGCTGGAGGGCTTTAGCATTCATAGGTGATTTACTTAGACAGACTCTGCTTTTGAATACTTATCTAATATAGTAGTAGAGTGCTCATTTGTGTGGTGATTGCAGGACTAGTTCCCTGTGCAGTGACCATTTTCGGTCTCTTTTTCATTCCCGAGTCTCCAAGATGGTTGGTAAGAAATACTTTTCTTTTTCTGTTTGTAGTTATATTGTTCTTGATCTTGATGGTACTGGAAACAAAAGGGAAAACCCTGAAACAAATCCAAGGAGACATTAATAAATAGAGAAGTGAAGGGAGAGTTAAAAAGAAAAGAAATGAAGAGCTTTTTTGTGGTCATTCGTTGTCGTTGAAAATTTTGACAGCACAGTGCATCACATTGGTTGATGGAATCTTGAGAGAGGTTTCCAAACCACAAAAATGTTGTACTGCTACTGTTTACCCCACAAAATCATTGTCCCTACTTCCTTTTCATTTGTTGCAATGACTGTTTGGCATTGATTGGTTTATTTATTTTGCTTTTGTTTTTGCCTCTGGTACTGTATTCATGTCCTTGCTTGCTGGTTCCCTTTTTGGGGTTTTCAAAAGTGTAGCTTTGGTGGTTTTCAATGCCACTGCTAGTGCATCTTCTTCTTATTTCTTGTCAAAGTTGATAGGGAGGCACATTGTCTTCTCTATTAGGTCTGACAAGCTGCAGTTTTTCCAAAACCCGGTAAATTCAAATTATCCATATCTCTCATTGATAGGGCTCTCTCTCTCTCTCACAAACGAGCTACTTAAGTAGCTATCAAATTGTCAACAGTGAACGTTAAATACTGCACCATCATCACCCTTTTCACCAACCCACTTTGCTCGCTGCATTTTTTGTACAAAAGCTCCACGGTTCGTGTAAGTTCTCATTGCTTCTTTGATCGATTTGCTTCGAGTTAGCTCAAAAAACTTAAACTGCAATGCTTCTAATTCTACCTTGAAAGATTGGAATGAAATGAGCAAGTTTCTTGGCGGTTGGCCCCCAATTCTGGAACTAATTATCTGGGATTAGTTCACTGCTCAAAAAATGCATGTTTTCCTCATTGCCCCTTCTTGTTAATTTGTTTGTGCAGCTGGTTGGCTTTTAATCCACTAGTTAATTGATCATTGAAATGGCACAAGAAGTTGTAAATTCAGATGAGGTAATCTCCTTGTGCATTTATAATTGCACCAACCTTTCTTTTGATGTTTCTGTTTTTAGTTTTCTTCCTGCAAATAGTGAACATGATAACTGTTTGCTAATTAGTAATTACCATATGGGTGTTTATGTAATCTTTTAGGTTGTTCTTGGAGAAGAAATAGACCATGTGAGGTTGATCACCTTGAACAGGCCTCGTCATTTGAATGTCATCTCATCAAAAGTCGTATGCTCACAAAGTCAACTAGTTTTGTTTAAGTTCTTAATTCACTTTCTTTTTTTGGTTCTTAATTCACTTTTTTTTCACTGCAATCAGGTTTCTTCGCTAGCAGAATACTTGGAAAAGTGGGAAAAAGATGATAAAGCTGAGCTTGTAATTATCAAAGGTTACTTCCAATTTTTCCTGAAATCTTGAACTAGCATTGGTGGTCGTGGTTTAATAGATCAATGCACAACTTCGGTGAAGTCTTCAATTCCATATAGAGCCATTTAGATATTAGCTACTTGATATGCTTTGGTGTTCTTGTATAGGGATCGGGTCGAGCTTTTCAGCTGGTGGGGACTTGAAGATGTTCTATGATGGCAGGAACTCAAGTAAATGCTTTCTCTTGTGAAAATATTTAAGTTCCTAATATATACAGAAAGTGAAGTTGCTCATGAACCTTCTTTGGCAGAGGATTCCTGCCTTGAAGTGGCTTACAGAATGTATTGGCTTGGCTATCACATTTATACTTATAAGAAAACCCAGGTAATGCTTGAAATAAAGTAATCCTATCGCCTGTGTTTTCCATTCGAAAATGAGTTCCCTGTAGACTGTATGATTCCAAGTTTATGCCACTATTTAAGGGTATCACTAAAGAATTCATGTTATCAATAGGTGGCTCTGGTCCATGGAATTTCAATGGGTGGAGGCGCATCTTTAATGGTCCCAATGAAGTTCTCGGTAGTCACAGAAAAAACTGTGAGTATGAATATGATCCTAGTGGGATGTTTATAGAAACATGTCTATCTTTAGTGTTTTTTGGCTTGATATCTATCTCTGCATAATAACATCAAAATTTTCTGTGGTGTATTTCATGATAGGTATTTGCATCTCTGAAAGCTAGTATTGGCTTTCATACTGATTGTGGTTTCTCATATGTATCCCATCTTCCTGGGCATCTCGGTAAGCATGCAAATATAGAGGAAAATAGTTTTTCCTGGATTTTACTGAAATTGATTGGTATCGTGTGGGGAACGCAGGGGAGTTCTTTGCCTTAACAGGAGCAAGACTGAATGGTAAGGAATTGGTTGCAGCTGGATTGGCAAACCATTTTGTCCCTCTTGAGGTGATTTTCTCATTCCTTCCCTATAATTTTCTTCCTCTGAAACCAAGTCTCGGAAGTATTAGCTCACAAGATTTGCCCCTCTAAGTGATCTGCAAAGCTAAGAGACTGCATTATACACATCCATTATTATTAGATTCTTTGATATAATTCTTCTTCATAGTTACTATGTCAAACTAAAATTTGCTATTGAACTGTTTTGTTCATCAGAAATTATCTGATCTAGAGAAGCGTTTGATAAGCTTAAACTCTGGAGATGAGAATGCAGTCAAAGCTGCGATTGAAGAATTTGCAGTGGAAGTCCAGCCCGATGAAGAAAGTGTTTTAAACAAGTAATAAATCTTAGTTGCTGGTGTTTAATTGTTAATTCCACTTCAATCCTTAACATTAACATGCAAAGCTCCATATCTCGATCTCAATAACCTTTCCTTACCTTTCAGGCAGTCAATAATTGATGAGTGCTTCTCCAAAGATACATCACAAGGATAAGGAAAGGTCTGATACCAGCTGGTTATGTCACTGTCAGGGTATGTGTCTTTCACTTCTATGAAATAATTGTGTTAAATTATGAAGTTCAATTTTGGTCTCAGAACATCACAAGGAATTATCATAAACTATACTCAAATCTTGAAGGATTCTATGCTCAAATGACCCAAAATAAAAATCACTATCCAAAAATAGATATGATTGTTATTTTTTGAATAGAGGCCTAATCTATGAAGGACAATTATATTGGTGATTTATCTGAGTTCTCTGGTGTTACTGGGTATGCTTATGTATCTCTGACTCTGTTTTTTCCCTTAGGTCGGATTAGCTCTTGGAGAGTTGCGAAAGGAAAATAATTTCCTAAGAAGCCTTTGGCCGGTAACTAATCCACCTTCAAGTCAAAAAACATATTTACATCCTCAACTTTTACAAAAGCCTCTCCGCCCATTCCTTGCTTGAGGGTATTTTGACGTTGTAGGAGTGTAAAACGTGATTCCATTAAGGACGTCGTGTCCTTTTTGTAATATGTTGTAGATTATGATATATAGTGGGAATGTGGAGTTTTTGTATTGCCATTGTATTGCTGCCGTATTGCATTTGTATTGTCATCATATTGTCATTGTAGCGTTGTGGTATTGCCTGGTTATTGCACTCATATTTGTTTCTTGTCACCAATTTTTTCAAGTATGTCTTGTGAAGGAACTTATAAGGATATTTTGTAAAAGAAAACGCTTGATTGTGTAAGTTTATTTTGTAAAGGAAAATGCTGGATCATTATTCATTATCATATAAATAAGGTACAAGAAGCACCGTATATGCATCTATTCAATATGATTGATTCGTGTTCAGCTATTGGTGTAAGAATGTGATTCCACTATTGCTTATTTATTTATTATTTATTATTTATTATTGTAAGAATGTGATTCCATTAATGACGTCACATCCTTTTAATAAATCAAACTCATAGTTGCTTCCCCTGCAAGAAAAGTCTATTAATTAAGAAAACCAACCAAAAAGCAATACAAAAGCAATACGAAAGTAATGGCACATAAATTATGAAGTGGTAACAGACATGCAATACAAAAACAATACGGTAGCAATAAACGAGCAATACAGTGACAATAGACAAGCAATAAAAAGGCAATAAAAATACAATAAACAAGTTGGGGGCTTTTCTTTTTCTTGTGCAATTTGAAAAGAGAAGGGGAAAGAAACATAAATTGTCAAGATAAAACTGCAAAAAGAAATAGAAAGTGATTATATCAGACATTTCCCCTTACAAAATTCTATACCGATAATGATAGCCACCCCAAGCTAAGGAGGGCTCGGCATAAATTAATACAACTTCAGTCCGACTATGGCATTATACATATCCCTTGAAATACAATATACAAATTGCTGGCTCAAAGAAGAGTAACAAAATTTTGATTCCAAATCCAGCATTTCAGTACAAATTGATGACTATAATGTCTGCGTCCATCTTGAAGATGAAATTCTTTCCGCCATCTTGGAGGCCTGACATAATGCTCTTTGATAGTCACCCACCCTTCTTAAAAAAAGTTCGTCTTTCCTCTGCAGGAAAAAAGTAAAAACCAAGATCAAGATCAATTGTCCTCCAAAAATATAGCTTAATTCTACAGAAGATACTAGAGATGATTTGAGGCCATTAATACTCAAGGGCTGTCCTTCAAGCTTAAGTAATTCATCATGCATTTGATCCATAATGAAGCTAAGGGAACTCCTGAGCATCTTCTTGTCTGAAAAAACAAAATAGTTTCAATAGGCAACTTAAAATAGATAGTAGAATATAGACCTGCTGCCATAAATATTTACACAAGACAGAGAAGAAACTAAACAATACAAATTTAATCCTTTGGTAATTACTCTTGAAGTGTTCTAGGTTTCTTCTTTCCTTGGTCCATGAAAATATTGGTGAACTCAGAATAATACAGAAGTTTGTTAACCTATTTGTTACAACATTTTACCAATCACAAGTTAACTTCTAAAATATCTTAGTCTAACCCATTATTTCACATTAAATGGGTTGCAACAGGTGTAATACACCACAAACAGATAAATAAATTGGAAAAAAGTGTAGCATGTTTTCAGAAAATAAACATTTAAGTGGAGACATTGTAACTGCAGGCATTTTAGTCATGAGCTATGTCAGGCAGTAGCACTTTTTCAAGCCATCAGACAAATTGTAAAGCATGAGAATTATCAATCAAGCCTAATAATACTGAAGGAAAACCATTACCGATCAATACAAGATTTATGAGAATCACAAAGTAACAATATAAGGACAGAAAGGAAACAGTGCATAAGGGATTTAAAAGAAAAAAAGTGGCAGCGAAGGGCAACTTTTGTGACTACAAATAGATGCATGTGTCTAAATATTTTTCCAATGATCGTGCCTTACAATTTCAGCCAGCAATACCATCAAGGATTACATTTGCAATAAGAAGGCTCAACATAGAAATAAAAAATACAAAAAGACAAAACCTAGAACGGAAAATTATTGACCCAGATCAGATACCTGCCCGAGATGCTAGTTGGTACATCTGGAGTAAAAATTTTAAAAACGCCTTCAAACATGGCAGGGCTAAAAGCCCTACCAGTCTCAAGAACACTTGCATCTTTGTTCTTTCAACTTGAACCACTAGGCATGTCAAATTCAGATACGAACTCTGCAAATCCACCCAATGTTGGATAGCCAACCTAATAAAATCAAATTCAAATGAACATATTAGTTAAGTGATTAGCCAGAAAAAGAACAAGCATTAGGGAAGGCAGCTTCCTATTTTCTGAGATCAGCAGTCTATATAAATTTTGTTATTTGCAAATAGCAATTCTACTAAAACCACGTAAATGCAAAGTATCGAATAAACAAAAGAAACCTTAGGCACTTTGCGAGTTCTCAATTCCTGCAGAAGCTGAACAAAAGGAGAACATATGACAATCCTAGATGGCAAATAGCAAATTGAGGCACTTCGTCATCCATAGAGCAAAATCAATCAGACCAATAGAAGTTTCATCCAGGCATGAAGTAATTCAAAGTTAAAATACAGAAATTTCCAATCTCTCTAATTACTAAACTTCACAAAATCAGTCACAGGTTAGTGAAATTATCCTTCTCAAATGAAAACCATACAAAAAGACAAACTAGTCAATAACAAATACAAAACCCACCTTAGAATCACTCGTTTGGCGCATATAACCGAATTGGAAATCCCAGAAACACCTAAAGAAAAGCATGAATCACTTGCTTGGATGCGCGACAAAAGCATTTTCAGTGTCTTGTAAGTCATGAAGACAATGCCTACACTGGGGACAACCTTGTAATATTCTGGCAGAATCCCTCTATACAAGTCCCGTAGGCCTTCAGTCCGGATTATGTGCTTAAAAGTCCCAACTAAGCCGTATTATAGATGCGAGCTCGACCACCAGCCCCTCCAACTGCATCCTTCGCCTCACAACATCCAGAGGGAATGTTGCTGAAATAACAAATAGACCAAAAGATAATCACACAGAAGAACAATAAATCTGAAATTCTTATTGCTAGATCCTAAACAAATCAATTGGAAGTCCTAACATAGTTTGCCATCTATCTGTGTCTGAAAACTATACAAGATTTAATTTGTATATAAGTTTTTGTTAATTTGTAAAGTATTTTTCCTTGTGAAAATAAATCCTCCACTGTGCATCATGTCACAATTTTCTGTTATAGCGATCCATCTTTTGATGGTCCAAACTAGCACCAAATGTCACATATCACTTACCTGTTGATGAGGCAATGCCTGAAAGACTGCCGCAGGCAAGACTGACCATTACAGTCGAATCATTGGGCCTGATATCAGAAGAATTGAAAACTACAATATTACAAGTCAAACGAATAGAGGGACAATAAACATCACTTTAAAAAATTCAGCCCCAAATCAACCAATTGTGCAGTATTCACCTTTCAGACTGCCAAAAAGACCTCAAAGCCTCATAAACTGAGAAGCTTATTGCTATACTGGGCCCAACACCCTGTGCCACAGGAATAAACCAAATGGAAATTAGTGTTAACAAAATAAAGCAACGAAGAATGTGCAGGTTCATAATAAAGCATACCAACAGTGTCGCTCCAAGTCCTTTATACAATCCCAAAAAACCTTCTTCTCTGCAAATTGTATGAAATGCATGCCCAATACCTCTGTAGTATAGTGCATTTCTCTAAATACACTGATAAAAATCAAACTGAAAAAATACAATGGATGGACAGTTATAAATCATACCTAAGACCAAATTTAATGAACAAGAATTGCAATATCTGAGAAGTATGTGAAAAAATCGGAACCGAAACCAAGAATTAGGGTTTTTTGAGGTCCTGAAGGAGCAGAGGAGAAGAGAAAGAAGTTGATTGAAGACATGAAAAGAGAGGGAACTGAGAGATTGTTGAAGGGAGAGAGCATTTAACGAAGAAACCCTCTCTTTCACCTTCAAGAACCCCCTCAACAAACCCTAACATTGACTGCAGAGAGAGAACGAGAGAGTGCTACTTAGGTTTTCGCTACAGAGGGAGAAAGAGAGTGGTGGTGGTCGATGGAGAGAAATCGCTGAGAGAGGAAGAGAGAACCGTGAGAGAGGGAAGTCAGAAGTGTTAGGGTTGATACATCTGCTTTTATATGGAGGGCACTTTGGTCATTTCACGTCCCCAAGTGATTATATTAGAACACAATTTGTAGCCTGATCATTTCAGCACACTATTTCTAAAACCTGATTACACCAGCTTATTTCCCTTTTTCTTTATCATGGAATATTGACTGTAGATGCATGCTTTTACTTTTGCTTTCTTACATTTCTTGCTTTCATGATGACTGTCGAGAAATATTGACTGCTTTTCTTTTGCTTTCATGTGAATCAGTCTTCATTTAGATCATAGGGATCTTGACTGTCAGGATAATCTGCCCTTCGAAATTTCTGGGTGGATTCTTTCTGACTTGTGGATTCTGAGTCTGACTGGAAGACGATTGAAACTTTGGAGAAGCATCGTCATCATCATCTTCATCATTCATTTATGAGGCTTGGATCATTAGCTGCTTGGCTAATTCTTTTAACTCTAACTTAGATCTTCCTTCGATTGGGAGGGAAGAGTGAGATGTTTCAGAGGTGGAAGGCCTTTGGGGAGTATTGACTTGAGGAAATTCTGTGTTGACTTGCTCAATAATTCTTTATGTCTTGAATTTGTCCCACCATTTAATGGAGAATTGTCTGGAGAGAATACGTGATTCCCAGTTGACTTTGTAGGACCATTTTAGAATCCATGGGACTTTGTATTTGGTGATAAAAATTAAGAGTTTTGGGAAGAATTGACTATCTTGCATGAATTTGTACTTGCTGGAAAAATACTTGACTATTTCTTTGAGATTGGTTAGGAGAAGATCCGAGGTAGGACCATGTTTTTCCCACTAGGAAGAAAACCAGTAGGGAAAAGGGCTCTTAAAGTTACTATCGAAATTGACAAACCATGAATGACTAAATCCTCGGTTTGGTGGAAGAAAATGGCATGCCAAGCATCAATGTAATCATAGTAATTAAATTGGAGACTGGAATTAAGTTTTTTGAAAGAGTAGGGGTGTTCAGATTGACTGAGAATGTTTTTGATGTACATAGAATGATAGAGAATGATGTTTAGGTCATTTCTATCCTTAATTGGTTGGATTTCTAGCGACTGAGTTTCAAGGAGGATATCACAATAATATTTAAGTGACTTAGAAGGGTGTTATGGAAATTGGGAGGAAAATGGGCTTTGGCAATTTTGACTAGGTTGGTTAGGTGATTAAAACATGGCTCAATGAGAAAGAGGTTTTGACTTTTTTTGGGGAAGTAAGGAGATGATTTGGTGTAACTAATTGGGGAAGAAGTAGGAGATGGGGTTATGACTTGGAATGGATCATAACTGGATATTAAGGCTGACTGATAATTAGGACGAATCGGGCTAACTGTGGAACCAAGGCTGGTAAACCTATTACTAATCTGGATGGGTGAACATCCTGGAAAAGGGACAATCTCATTTTTGACTGGATTCATGGACGCTAGGAGCGTTCTGACTAGTTGTGGTTAACTGATTTTCTCTTTCTGCTTGTCAGTTGTTTTTGCTGCCATTGTTTTTCTTGTAAGAATTCCCTAGTAAGAAAATCTGGAATGGAGTTCTCACTTCCTCTCAGATATTCGATTTCAAAATAAAAAATACTTTAAATAGCTTGCAAATGTGCAAAAATCTGTTTTGATGCAATGTTTTGAACATCTTTTTCTAAAACATGCTTTGCACTTTTGCAATCAACTCTGACTAAAAAATTTTGATTTAGTAAATCATCTTGGAATTTTGTAATGCATAATACTATAGATAAAATTTCCTTTTTAATAGTACTATAATTATGTTGTGACTGTGTCCAAATTCCAGAATGGAATCGAATGATTTGCTTTGTTTGTTGTGGATTGACTCTTTGTTTTAGGATTCCTCCGTAACCATTTTCGGAGGCATCAATTTCAACTATTTTGAAGCAATTGACCGAAGGAATGCCAAGACAAGGCATTGTTTTGACATGGACTTTGATATGTTTTACAATTTCTGTTGAACACGGGACCAAGGAGGAGGATTAGTTTGGAGTCTGTCAAATAAAGGCTTACATTGCTTTCCCAGATTCAGATAAAAATCAGAGACATAGTTGAGAGAACCTAAAAACCTTTGGAGTTGACTTTTGTCAAGAGTTTGATCTGGAAATTTATTAGCAAACTGGATGACCCGATTAATTGGGCTGATTTGTGACTGACAGATATTATATCCAAGGAACCTAACATTGGTTTGGAATAACTTGATCTTTTTGGCAGAGATAACTAAACCATTTTGTTTGACTATCTGGAGGAATTTATGCAGATGTTTCCAATGTTGTTCTATTGACTAAGAAAAAAATGAGGACATCATCAATGTAAACTATGGAGAAATGACTGAAAGAATTGAATATCTCATTCATTATATTTTGGAATTCACTAGGCACATTTTTTAGACCAAAAGGCATAACATTCCACTCATAAAGTGACCGAATAGGGTTACAAAAACGGTTTTATACCTATCTGACTATTTGACTTGAATTTGCCAAAATCCACTCTTCATATCAAACTTACAGAAAATGACTGCTTTGTCTAACATGTTCATTAAATCTCCCTTATTGGGGATCGGATATCTAATCCATTCTAAGACATGTTGTTTCCTATGCCAAAAAGCATTGGGTAAATTAGAACAGACTTCTTGTTTTAATTTTTCTTCAAATTTTTGGATTTGTGACTGTAAGAACTCATTATTAAGTTGTTGTTCAATTCGTTTAAACTTGACTTCTTCTTTGAGAAAATCTAGCTGTTTATTTTTATTTTGAATTATTTTAACTATTTTTTAGATTGCATTTTTCTATAAAGCTTTTAAATTATGTAATTTTGACTTTCTCTCCCATATGGGTTGATATGACTCCATTGTATTCTACTTGGAAAGGGTACAAGGGGGCAATGAAGGGTAGACCTAGATGACTTCGTTAGTAATGCTTTTGACTAAGACGAATGAAGTTTTAAAGCATACCTTATTTTGACAAACATGGGCTTTTGGAATTTCATAATCTAATCAGAGTGATTTACTAGAGCCAGTGCTTAATGTTTTCTTTTGACTTTTCATAATGTTTAGTAGGGATTAATCCTTCTCTTATACAATTAAGATCTGCTCTGGAATAGAAAAGGGCTATTGTGTTTAACTCAAAAGTTTTTATAAATATGGTGACTTTAGAATTCCATTTTCTAAAATTTATTTGTTTTATTAAATTAATAGCTTTATCATTGTCTAAAGGCTCATTATTGGAATTTGTTGGACCTTCAGCTTGACTTTTAGCATCAAAATTTCTTGTTTCCATTAAATTAATTAAATCTTGTTTAATTTCAAAATTTTCATTTTGTAACTTGTGACTCATTTGTTTTAATTCTATTATTTCTTTTTTGATTATTTTTACTTCCATTTGTAAATACTGTAAAGTTACCTCTTTTCTTTTGTTGAATTTTTCTAAGATAGTGTTTAGACTTATCTTTGAGGGAACATGTTGACTTGGCTCTTCTTGACCAATGACTTGTCGTAATTTCTTTAAATACCCAGATTTTAGTTATTGGTTTTCTACTTTACTAATTAAATCAATTAATAGTTCTTCTTGTTCTTCTTGTTTTGTAAGGACTCATATTGACTTTGTGAGGACATTACAGCACTTTTCTGTACATCCAAATTGGACTTTTGGGGAACTTAACTAGGAAGTTGAGGAACTGTAATCTTCTGAGTTTGTTATTGAGGTTTCAATTTCACTAGACTCAGAGTTTCTTAATTCTAAAACCTCGATTAATTGGGCTTTTTCTTCTTCTGTGATTTGTAATTACTTTATCGTGTCTTTTACTTTACATTCATTAGCATAGTAACCATGTTTTTTACATTTCCAGCATTCAACTTTTCTTTTATTTGTATTTTTCTTAAAGTTACTTTTCTTGTCTTTTCTGGGAGCTTTTGACAATTTTTTCGTGGGTTAAATTTTCTTTTACCATAAAATTCATCATTATGTTTAAAGGATTGTTTTCTGCGTGAGTAATGTCAACGTTTACTAGTTTGTCGGTCATGGTAACTAGTCTTGGGATCCGGATCCTCTGTTTTGATTTTCTCTGCCATGATCTGTTTTACTTTTGATCTCTATATGCCACCTCATTAAAATTTAATCTAACGGATTTAAAAGTTAACACATCATCCTAAAACAAAAACTCAATTTACTCCTAATTAAAAAAGAATAAAAAAAAACTCTAACACCCAACTAACGGGATGTTTAACGTCCAAAACTCTTTTTTTCTTCTTCTTCTTCTTCGTGTTCTGTCGTCCTCTCTCTTTTTCTCCTTCTTGCTTCAGTTTTGTCATCTTCTCCTTTTTGCTTCAGGTTTTGTCCTCTTCTCCTTCTTGCTTCAGGTTCTGTCCTTTTCTCTTTATTTAAGTTCATATTCATCTTACCTTAAATGTTGAATTTCAATCACAGCTCCAAATACAGCTATTACCCTCGCATCAACCCCAGAAGAGAACTAGGCGGTCAACCCTCGAAAGGAGGAAGAAAGGCTATGACCTTGATGATATCCTTTTTATAAGTCCTGGTAAGTTTTTTTATTTATTAAAATCAATTTTCATAACTACCTTATACAGGCTATGAACTTGATGATCGATAAGCCACATACAGCTTCAAATGTTGATCAAACTGAAGATGGCATCTGGAATCAGGGGTATATTATGCATTCAGTAATACCTTTATTATGAAATTTCATTTGTATAATACTAACTAGTTTTTTCTTTGTTTTTTTATACAGGTCAATATATCAATAGGAATGCTTGCCAAAGATACACAACTGTTCTTTCTTTTATTATTGATGTGTAAATTTATGTTTGTCATGTATTTGATGGGAAGATTATAAACCTTTTGTCTTTTTAATGGAGATTATAAATATTTCTTCGATTCTATTTCCTACATCCATTCTTTGTTTTCTCTTTAGCACTCTAGTTAGCTAGATGATGGCATGATGGTTTATGCAAGGAGAGAAAAATAGGAGAAAATGGCAGAAAGAGATAAAGAAAAGAAGTGAATAAGGAGGAAAAAAAAACAGAACGTGAATAAGGAAAACAGAAAAAAAATTATAAAAAAGAAAAAAAAGAAAAAAAAAGAGAAGCTGGACGTTAACTACTGTTAGTTAGGGTTAGGGATTTTTTTTATTCTTTTTTAATTAGGAGTAAATTGAGTTTTTGTTTTAAGATGATGTGTCAACTTTTAAATCCGTTAGATTAAATTTTAATGAGGTGGCGTATAGAGAACAAAAGTAAAGCAGATCATGGCAGAGAAAATCAGAGCAGAGGATCCGGATCCCTAGTCTTGGCTTTTCTAGATGGGGGAATAGAAGCTAGACCATATTGTTCACAAAAGTTTCCTAATTCATACTTGGCTGAATTTCTTTATGACTGGATTTGTTTACCTATTTTCATATCAACACACATTTTCATTCCTACTTGATTAATTGTACTAATAATATTTCCATAAGTTAAATTAACAACCAAAATCTATATGGCCTTGGTCTTTACTTAAGACTCTGCGTATTTTATGGGTAAACAAATTGGGGAGACCATTAATAAATTTTTCTTTCCACGAAGGCTGATTACTATCGTCTCTAAGCATGACTCTAGAAATGAAGATATCTTTATATCATCTTAAATCACTTAGTTTAGGGCATCTAAGGTTACTAAGTTGATCATCAATTTGGCTGTTGTGTTCCTAGGTGTTCCTATGAAATGTTAAATAATTATATATAATAAGGTATTGACTCCGTCTTTTATACCTGTACCTAAACGTTCATATAAAAAAATAGGGAGACCTTCTTCATTTAGTTTTATTGGGTGTATGATTTGTCGTTTGGACTCTTCAGTTAAATGTTTATCCCACCAAGAACGTAAGGTTCCGGTGAATCCTGTTTCTTGAAGGGGAATGATTTCTGACTTTATGAAGTTGTGATTGGTTATGTAACTGTTGGCTACCATTGACATATGTTGGAGTTTATTAAGGATTTCTTATTCAGAAAGGCCATCAATATTCCATTAATACAATTTATCAAAGGAGACTGAGAATTGAATATGGGAATTTCTTTCTTCAAACTAGATGTCAGGAGGAGTTGGTTTGGGGTACCAATTTTTTGTTAGACTGGTAGGATTGACTCTGTTCCTTAGTCTATTAAGCTTCAAATCATTATCTATTTCCAAATTTTTAAAGGCATTCTCAATTTTTGATATATTACTAAAATCTGTTTCATTACTAGTTATGGACTTATTGTCAGAGGAATTGACTAGAACAGAGGATTCAAGGACTTTGAAGTAGAGGGCTCAGGGTTTTCTTTAACTGGTGTTAGTTGTTCAAGCATTTCTTCTATTTTTTTCATTGTGGGCTTTGTCTTAAAGGTGGGGCTTGACTTTAAATCTTGGAATTTGACTAGAGGTTTCTCTTCTTGAGACTTAAGAGACATTTGTTGGGGAACTATTTTGTCAATTTTCGTTTCTAACTTATCTAATTGTATCCCAATGACTATTAGACTCTGGTTTGTATAATTATTTTGCTCAACTAATTTTTTATCACTTTGTGCCGGAATTTTAAAGGGACTGGCTACGATGTAAACATTTTTATGACCAATAATTATTGTTTCTACCGGGGGGTGGCTAGCTATGACTTCAGTCTTATCTTCTCTTTTCCAGTTTTCTTGTGTTAAAGTTTTTAACTCTTTGGGCATGTAGTAACTTTCAACAAAATCAAGGTAGAAAATTTTTGACTTAGTTCTTTTCATAAAAAATTTCCACTCATTAAAGATTTGTTGTCTTAGTTCTTTATCTGGGTCAATTGTGTGATAATTATTTCTTTTGACTAGATTTTATGGGGCATTTAAATGACAGTTTAAGATTTTCCAATCAATTTTAAATTCTTTATTGAGGGTTTGTAACTGGTTATCTACAGGGATGGCTTCAGTTTCAAAATCAATTTGTGTGGGGGAATCTAGAGAATATGATTTTTCATCTTCTTTAACTGGTTTCTTACCATAACACGGATGGTTGACTTGGGAAGTTTTTCTTAAAGATTCTAATTTTAAATCAATTAAAGTTTTTTTCTAACTCTAGGTCTCTTTCTAGAGTAGAAGAAGAGGTCGCAAAGTAATGCCTAGCAGGAGTATGTCTTAGGGATTGACCAGGTTGAAAATGGTACTTAGGTGACGAGGGGTAAATTTAATCACACAAACAAGACACAACAACACAGCAATCTTCACACACTTTAAACCTTGACCAAATACACATATGACTAGTCAAGAAACAATCACAACCAATAGAATACACAGCGCATGCCACAATGTACCTGCAATTCTAGAAGATTACTAGTGACAACCTAGGCACTCAGAAGGACCCGTCAATCTAGGCATCCCCTGTGCTAGCAACAACTATGGTGAAAGTGTGTGAAATCATCATTATCATGTAAACATCAAACAGCAGATAAAGATGATTAGTCAACCACCAAGAACACAGACCCAGAAAAATTACAGATAAGCAAAACAGATTTTGTTCACCCAGAAACCCACCATTGGGAAAAACTGGGAGTCATCAACCGACCAGGCACTCCACTAAGTAGAAAAAGATTCTTACAAAGGAAACACAACCAAGCTCAAGAAGCACCTAGGTCTATTTAGGAATATGAGCAATACCTCCTTTGTGCAATCTTCTTCTCCAACTTAGCAAAGCTTGAAGCTCAGTCCTTCATGGCAATGGCAGCTCCTTCTCCAGCTCGTTCATCCCATGGCACTAGCTTGCAAGCTCCAACACAAACCGAAACCAATTTGGATTCAAAGGAGAAAGACCAATTTCTTCAAGAAACCATACTCTTGAAGAAATCAATCTTGAATCTGACCTAGATATAAATGAGAGATGATTTAAGTAGCTAGATGCAGATTTCGGTTTCAAAAGCAGTTTTTCAAAAAGATATCAAATTGGAAAAACTCATAGATGAAATATTTGGTTCTCTCTTGAGGAAGAAGAAGAGAAAGATCGCAAGCCAATCTTTCCAAAACTTCCTCCCCAAAAGAGACAACTGCCAAATGAGAAATATCATGGCTTTTACAGTCCAACGAATTCCTTAGGTTAGAAACCCACTTGGCAGTTGAAAGAGAGAAAGAATAATAGGACAAAACAGTTTGTTATCCAGCTGGAAGCAAGGATGACTAGTCATCTGAGAAACGGATGATTAGTCATCATTTTATGAAGATTGTTTAATGTAATGATATGCAATGCTCAATACCTTTGTCAACTTGCTTGAGCCACCATAGATCAGAGATTAGAGAAGAGCACCAATAAAAGTTTTCCCTAATCTAGACTTGAGCTTGATAAATTACATTACAAATCTTATTACAAAGTTGTCAAGGGAAGCCAAAAGAAAATAGTAAAAACCATACATTAACAATCTCCCCCTTTTTGGCTTTCCTTGACAACACACTCTCTAAGAACACTCAACCCAAAACCGAGACTAAGGAGATGATGAAGTGAAGATACCTGCAAGAACAACCAATCTTCCTGGCACAAAAACAAGCATATTATCACAGAAATTTTAAAACAATATGCAATGTGGGGTTGAGAGTGTTCTCCTCCTTGTTGATAAGGAAAGTGGAAAAAGGCAGAGAGATAGAAACATCATATAAAAGGGATTAACCACAAAGTGATAGGCATATAGGAACAAGGTTAACAGCACATATTCATAGATGGATGACTAGTCAAACAACAGTTGTTTAAAAACAGTACAGAACATAGATTTATGACTAGTCAAATACCAGTTGTTCAAAATAGGACAGAACAACTCCCCCTATCACAATGCATAGACTACCCATAATGTGTTTACAAAAACAATCCCCCCCTAGCAAAATGCACAGACTAATCACAATGTGATTACAAAACAACTCCCCCTATCAAAATGCACAACCTATCCAGAATTAATCTTCCTATCTAGGACACAGCCAAGAGCAACACCAAGCTAAAAGACCAAAGAGCCACCAGAATCCACAGAGTCATCCGAGTCCTCATCAGTGGCAGGAGCAGGCTGAGTATCTGCATCAGCAGCAGGTGCAGGAGTCGAAGTGGATGGAATGAGGCTCAAAAGATGTTAAATATACTCTTCCTTGGCAGCCAGCTGAGCTCTAAGAGAGGCATTCTCAGAGGAAGACGACACAGAAGTGAGAAAGGTTCTGGAAACTTTCTGGCTAAGGGCAGCAGAGGCCTTGCCATAAGGAGCAATGGGAGGATGCCACTGATCGGAATCATGAAATACCACCCCATTTTTCTCACAAAGGCGCTGAATCAGACAGGGAAACACAAGAGTCCCCTTGTGCTTGGTACCATGACCAATGGTTTTCCCAAGAATGGCATTATATAGGATATCACCAAGGGGAATTTTATCATGATTCACCATGGATATCATGAGTTGGCAGGCAGCAAGAGTGGGATTAGAATTGTTCCCAGTGGGGAGAACATTATGACGGATAAAATCCCACAAAAATTTATAAAAAGGTGATAGGTAAGACTTGATAGGCAGACCTTTAGAGGTCAAAGGCAAAGATTGATCAGTGTATGCCATGGATTTAAAAAGATCAACAGAGTATTCAGCAGAAGCAAGAGCAAATTTTGCATAATCAAAACCAGGGCATGATCAAAAACCTAAGACCCGATTGAGAACAGATGGTTTCAGAGTAATGGGTACTGACCTAACCAAAATCTGATACTTTGACTCCTTAGGATCAGCAGGAAAGTTAGAGTAAAACTCTTGAACGACAGGGATATTAAACTTACCAGAGAGAGAGTTTAGGGCATGAAGGTGGTAGTGCTCCAAAATCTGATTTGCAGACTCCTGAGCCGCCAAGGGAACAACATCAAACTGATAAGTCCTCTGAGGAATAATTTTTCTCTTCGAGAAAACCTCATCAAAGAAGGAGGCAGCCGCAGAAGACACAAAAGGAGAGGAATCTCCAATAGGAACAGAGGAAGAGGGACGGGTTCTAGGAGCCCTAGGAATTGACGGATTGAAATCCACCCTGTCAGTGGATTTTGATTTGGAGCGACGGTGGTAAGTGTGGAGAGGCTTGGAGGAAGACATGGTCAGCAGCGGGAAGAAATTTGGAAGAGAAAACAAATGGAAGAAGGGGCGAAGAGACCAGAACAGAGTGAGAGGGAGAGAAAAATTTGAAATGGAGACGAAGTCGAGATTGATGAGAACAGAGAGAGAGAAAAAAGGCAAACGAAACTGACGAAGAAGAGATTGATGAAGAAGAGGAAAATAAATACCTAAAAAGGAAAAAAAAACGCAAACGACACGACCCAAAAAAAGAACCGCTCAGAACCAAAAATGGAAAAAAAATAACCGCCAAAACGAAAAATGAAAAAGACGCATCGGTTAGGAAACAAAGCGGATGACTAGTCAACCACAAGCAAGATGACTAGTCAACCACAAATATGATGACCAGTCAACTAAGGCAATATTAGAAAGAACAGCAAAGCAAAACACCCAGATGACTAGGCAACCATAAGCATAGATGACTAGTCAACTAAACCAGCATTATGACAAACACCAAATAATATCGACCCTGTGAAAGACATGATTTTGGTTAAATTAAATAAGCATGAACCAGCACATATATCAAGTGATCAAGGTTGCATTAGCACAATAGTCTAAACCAAGTCTTCAACACATGAAGAAAAGAGAATGAAAAAGAAGAATAGTTTAAAACCATAGGCAGTGTACATAGACAATCAACTCTGAGAAACAGGCAATGAGATGCAATTCATGCTCGGAGACAAGGCATATTTAGGAAAGAAGGAGGTTTAGAGCCAAGGGACACAAGAGATGATATCTGATCCCTCTTGGAGAGACACGTATACACTGCATTCTTAAGACATGATCATAGTATGGGCTCACAGCAAAAGATCAGCACTCTCTATTGACAAAATATTTGATGATTTATTTTGTGGTACTTGCACATCCCGAACATAAGTGCTTTGAATGGCCCAATTTTATGGCTCTTTGCTCTAAATTCTTCAATCAAACCACCTTATACCTTCCTAGAGCCATGACTGCATTGGTCACACTTCCCTTTTTTCTTTTCTTTTTTCTTTTCTTTTTTTTATAATAAATTTGAAATAGATTGGCTAAGAGAGTGAGACCAGCTAAGAGATAATAACAAGAACAGTCCAAAATGAAGCCGAGATACATGGCTCACCAAGAGGACAAGATAGCATGATTTTGGTCTCAACTAACAGCTCAAAAACAAGAAAAGGGATTATGCACAAGTCAAACAAAGCACAAAAACATTCAACATGCACACCAGCAGAGATGAGTGATATGAACAGTGACATATCAACATCAAAACACAAAAGAAATTTTGGACTTGACTAGGCAACTACAAGCAAGATGACTAGTCAACTGTTTTGAAGTGTGCTGAAGACAAGGAGCAGACAAGCTAATCAATCAATTGAGCAAAGGCCAATGGATTGCCTAAGTATACCATGTTTCTGAAAGTCCAAGGCCTTGGTAAGTATATCTGCTAGCTGTTTTTCAGAGGGAACAAATTCCAAAGATAAAATTTTGTCTTCCACAAGATCTCTAATAAAATGGTGCCGAATGTCTATATGCTTAGTCCTAGAGTGTTGAACAGGATTTTTTGAAATATCTATGACACTCATGTTGTCACAATAGATTAGAAAGCAAGATTGAGCAAGACCATAGTCTTCCAACATTTGTCTCATCCAAAGAAGTTGAGTACAACAACTCCCAGCGGCAACATACTCTGCTTCAGGAGTGGATAAGGAGACAGAATTCTGTTTTTTGCTATGCCAAGCAACAAGGTTGTTGCCTACATAGAAGACCCCCCCGGAAGTGCTTTTCCTATCATCACTACAACCTGCCCAATCGGCATCACTATACCCAACAAGATTGACACAAGTGTCATAGGTATACCACAACCCAAACTCAATAGTCCCCACTCACATATTTTATGATTCTCTTAACAGCAAACAAGTGAGACTCTTTTGGGTCACTTTGAAACCTAGCACACACACCAACACTAAAAGAAATGTCAGGTCTACTAGCAGTCAAGTAGAGAAGACTTCTTATCATGCTTCTATAGAGAGTTTGATCCACACTTTTGCCATGCAAGTCTCTATGAATCTTAGCACTAGTGCTCATTGGAGTTCTTGCAGATTTGGCTCCCTCCAAACCAAATTTTGTCACAAGTTTTTTTGCATATTTAGATTGGGATACAAAGATCCCATCATGGCTCTGTTTGATTTGAAGACCTAAGAAATAATTAAGCTCACCTACAAGACTCATTTCAAATTCACTAGTCATGACATGAATAAAATCTTGAACATGCAAATCTGAGGTAGAACCAACCACAATATCATCAACATACACTTGAGCAATCAAGACATCCTTTTTAAACCTTTTCACAAACAATGTTTTATCAACGGACCCTCTAACATACCCATTTCCTAGAAGATGAGAGGATAACCTCTCATACCATGCTCTAGGAGCTTGTTTCAAACCATAGAGAGCCTTTTTTAACCGAAACACATCATTTGGATGATGTGGATCTTCAAAACCCTTTGGCTGCTCAACATAGACCTCTTCATTTAGGACACCATTCAAGAAGGCAGTTTTGACATCCATTTGATAAAGTTTGAATTTCAAATGACAAGCAATGGCAAGAAGCAATCTAATTGATTCTAATCGTGCAACAGGGGCAAAAGTTTCATCAAAGTCAATGCCTTCCATTTGAGTGTATCCTTGAGCAACCAATCTAGCCTTATTTCTCACCACATTACCTTGCTCATCGGTTTTATTCTTGAAAATCCACTTAGTGCCTATGACATTTGTGTGAACTGGTCTAGGAACAAGGTACGAAACGTCATTTCTCACAAATTGATTTAATTCTTCCTGCATTGCAAGAAACCATTCACCATGGTGCAAGGCTTCTTTCACATTTCTAGGCTCTTCCTTGGAAACATAACACACATGGCTAATTTCTTGAGCAAGTTGTTTCCTAGTTCTCACTCCCTGATTAAGAGGGCCAATAATGACATTCGCAGATGGAGTGAGAGGACTATGATCAGGATGAGAGCTGGCAGCCTGGACAGAGGAGATGGAACTAGAAGTTGAAGGGGTTGACAGGTCAACCGGGACAGAATTTCCAAAAGTTGACAGGTCAACCACAAGATCCAGACCTGGAGATTCTTGCTCAAGTGGAGGAGGAGGAAAAAGACCATCCTCATCTAATGCCATCTCTATAGAGGCAGCAAAATCATCAATAGTGACATTTATGGATTCAATGATGGTTCTGGACCTACAGTTGTACACTCTATAGGCTCGACTAGAAGTGGAATACCCTAGAAATATTCCCTTATCACACTTAGACTCAAACTTAGCAAGATGCTCCCTATCTCTCAAAATATAGCATGTGCTACCAAAGACCTTAAAATATGACACATTAGGCTTCTTTCCTTTCCAAATCTCATAGGGAGTTTGGTTGGTACCAGACCTCACAAATACCCTGTTTGAGATGTAACAAGCTGTATTGATAGCTTCAGCCCAAAAGTGTTTAGCAAGATTTTTGCTATTTAGCATCACCCTTGCCATCTCTACAAGCACTCTATTCTTTCTCTCCACAACACCATTTTGCTGAGGTGTAATAGGTGCAGAGAACTCATGTTTAATTCCCATTTCTTCGCAAAATTTTAGAAACTGAGAATTCTCAAATTCAGAGCCATGGTCTGTTCTAATTCTAACAAGAGGCAGATGACTGGTCATCTTCTCTTTTTGCAAAAGGTGACAAACAGACTTAAACCTTTGAAAAGTTTCAGATTTCTCACGTAGAAATGAGACCCAAGTAAACCTAGAGAAATCATCAACCATGACAAGAATATATTTCTTTCCACCAAGGGACATGGTTTGGATAGGACCAACAAGGTCCATGTGAACAACTTGAGATCTATGACCTCCACCAAAAGTCACAGTGCCTCCATCAAAGGGGCTGAGAGATGAGAAAACATTTTTATCCCCAGACATATGTTTGGAACAACCACTATCAAAATACCAAGAGTTGATATTTGAAGCAGCAAAAGCATTTAGCACAACAAGAGATTTGGTATGACCTCTTGCAATCCAAGTAGACTTAGGCACAATAGGAGAACTCATTTTGAGGGAGACAAGTTTGGCTATCTTAGTGACCTCATTCAGCAAATGATCAACTTGATCTTGCAAAGATCTGGGATTCCTTTTAGATTTTGGAGACAATTTTCTGGTCTTTTCTTTGCTATACATATGACAGACTGGTCGAATATGACCAGTCAACCCACACCTGTGACAAGTTGGAACAAACTTAGGTTTCTTGACAACCTGCTGAACATCAAGAGGAACCGTGACTGGATTTTCTGATTTGACAAACTTAGTGGTAGAACTAGACAAACTAGAACCAAAGTGATTAAATCCAAGACCACCTTTGTCCCCATGAAGTTTTCCCATATTCAACATTTTGTCAATTTTTGAAGCACCAATGGTCATAGATATAATCTTCCTATTTGCTTCATTCAATTCACCTAGGAGCTGTTTGTTTGAGTTCTGGAAACCAATGTTACTTTCCTTGAGCACATTAACTTGGTTCTCAAGGTTACTCCTAATTGACACAAGAGCATCAATTTCTTTTTCTAGAGACTCAAATTTGTCACTCAACTCCTTTTTGGTTTCTTTTAAGATGAGAATTTCATGTTGAAGATCTTGGTTATTTGCCTCAAGTTTGAGGCTCTCTTCTTTCAAGGACAAGGTCTCTTTAAACAAACAATCATATTTTCTTCCTAATGACTCGTATGACAGGTCATCTGACTCAGAATCAGATTCATCAGACATGGGCTGCACAGAGGCAACAAAGGCAACATGTTGGTCATCATCATCAGAGGAAGATGAATCATCTTGAGAGCCTTCACTTTCACTCTCACTCCAGCTCACTTTCATGGCCTTGTCCTTTCCTTTGGAGTATTTTTTCTGATTGTTTGCACAGTCAGCAGCATAGTGTCCAATGCCTCCACATGTGAAGCACTTGACAGATTTTCTAAAATCTTTCGTGAAAGGTTTGACATCCTTATTCCTCTCATTAAACCGATCAGTTGATGGTCTAAAATTTTTCTCACTACCAGAGCTGCCCTCTCTAGCAAACTTTCCCTTATCCTTAAGAATTCTCCTAAATTTTTTGACCAACAAGGCCATCTCATCCTCAAAACCTGAGGATTTATCACCACCTTTCGGAGAAGAAACATGCACTCCTTGAAGTGCAACACTTTTTGATTTTTTGGAGTCATTTTCTTCCATATTCAATTCCATCTCATAGGTTTTCAATTTTCCTACAAGTTTGCCAAGCTTAATTTCATTTAAATTTTGGACCTCCATGATTGCGGTTTTCTTTGCTCTAAACCTAGATGGTAGAACACGAAGAATTTTCTGAACAACAAGAAGCTCTTCAATGGGTTGACCTAGACTCATGGCTTCATTTGTGATCATCTCAACTCTTCCATAGAACTCAGAAATAGACTCAGTTTCAGACATCCTAAGTTCTTCAAATTGTGCAAGCACCATCTGAAGTTTTAGGGTTCTAACTTGGTCATCCCCTTCATGAACCACCCTTAGTTTATCCCAAGCTTGTTTAGCATTAGGGATGTGTTGTATATGTGCAAATTGTGTGCTAGACAAAGCTGTAACTAAGGCATTTCTGGCCTTCTTGTTCGAATATGCAGCAAACACCTCAGCTTCAGTCCATTCTGACCTAGGCTTGGGCACAACCTCACCCTCAACAGTCTTGACCGGAGCAACCCATTCTTTTGTGAGATACCCACTTGCATACTCATCAAGAGCATCAAGGAATATCTCAAATTTTCTCTCCATGCAGCGTAGTTATTGCCGTCAAAATAGGGAGGGGAGTTGCAAGATCCAGCAACTCGATCCCTTTCCATAGTGAGCACACCTAAACACCAAAACAAATCCTAGGATCTCTCTATTTTTGTTAAGAACTAACGCTCTGATACCAATTGAAAATGGTACTCAGGTGACGTGGGGTAAATTTAATCACACAAACAAGACACAACAACACAGCAATCTTCACACACTTTAAACCTTGACCAAATACACATATGACTAGTCAACTACTAGTCAAGAAACAATCACAACCAATAGAATACACAGAGCATGCCACAATGTACCTGCAATCCTAGAAGATTACTAGTGACAACCTAGGCACTCAGAAGGACCCGTCAATCTAGGCATCCCCTATGCTAGCAACAACTATGGTGAAAGTGTGTGAAATCATCATTATCATGTAAACATCAAACAGCAGATAAAGATGACTAGTCAACCACCAAGAACACAGACCCAGAAAAATTACAGATAAGCAAAACAGATTTTGTTCACCCAGAAACCCACCATTGGGAAAAACTGGGAGTCATCAACCGACCAGGCACTCCACTAAGTAGAAAAAGATTCTTACAAAGGAAACACAACCAAGCTCAAGAAGCACCTAGGTCTATTTAGGAATATGAGCAATACCTCCTTTGTGCAATCTTCTTCTCCAACTTAGCAAAGCTTGAAGCTCAGTCCTTCATGGCAATGGCAGCTCCTTCTCCAGCTCGTTCATCCCATGGCACTAGCTTGCAAGCTCCAACACAAACCGAAACCAATTTGGATTCAAAGGAGAAAGACCAATTTCTTCAAGAAACCATACTCTTGAAGAAATCAATCTTGAATCTGACCTAGATATAAATGAAAGATGATTTAAGTAGCTAGATGCAGATTTCGGATTTCAAAAGCAGTTTTTCAAAAAGATATTAATTGGAAAAACTCATAGATGAAATATTTGGTTCTCTCTTGAGGAAGAAGAAGAGAAAGATCGCAAGCCAATCTTTCCAAAACTTCCTCCCCAAAAGAGACAACTGCCAAATGAGAAATATCATGGCTTTTACAGACCAACGAATTCCTTAGGTCAGAAAACCCACTTGGCAGCTGAGAGAGAGAAAGAATAATAGGACAAAACAGTTTGTTATCCAGCTGGAAGCAAGGATGACTAGTCATCTGAGAAACGGATGACTAGTCATCATTTTATGAAGATTGTTTATGTAATGATATGCAATGCTCAATACCTTTGTCAACTTGCTTGAGCCACCATAGAGCAGAGATTAGAGAAGAGCACCAATAAAAGTTTTCCCTAATCTAGACTTGAGCTTGATAAATTACATTACACATCTATTACAAAGTTGTCAAGGGAAGCCAAAAGAAAATAGTAAAAACCATACATTAACACAGGTGTTGGGAGTTGGTGTAATTCAACTGAAGACTTTTGAGGGGGTTGATTTCCAAAATTAATTTTAATTGTGCCGTCCAAGTATTGTTGAATATAATCTAAATTATTTAAACCATGTTGAATGGGAGCAGGTTGATTTTTGGTGATTAGTGTCCAATCTAGAGGTAGAGTGACTTATGACCATTTGATTGTATGGGGAACTCTTATATTAGCATAAGCTTTACTACTTTGAATGTGCAAGGTTTGGTCTTTTGGACTTTTGTTAAGGGCTTGGAAATTCATATTGGTTCCTGTGACTTTATAATAAATTCTATAGACTAAAGCTAAAGGTTGGGTACCTGGTAAGACTTATATCCTGAAGTTTTAATATTTAATGTTATAGTTTTCAATATGTGAGGATCACTAAGGCTTACTGTAAAATCTGGGTAACAATCGAAATGAATTGGACCATTAAATAAGCTTGACTCAATTATTCCTAAGGTACTATCACTAAAGTTGGTGAATCTGGCATCGCGTAGGCAAAGTAAAATAGAGGCATTTAGTCCTAATCTGGTAAGGGGTTTGACTGCAACTTGGATGAGACCAATATGAAGGAAATTGTTTCCATTGTTCTTATGTTTCTTTATTGAGTCGAGATTTAATAATTGACATGTTTCGTGTTCTTTACTTAAGGCATAGACTTGTTCGACCGTTTTAACATGGGTTGTACTTTTGAAACTTGAGAGTGACCATTTTTTCTTACAATTTTCTGTAGTATGAATTTTGGGGATATTCCAATCTTTATAGTCTATTTCATACTAGATTCATATTCTATTTGTTCTTCATTAACTATTTCTGGGAGTTTACTAATACTGGCTATACAACTGCTACTGTTACAAGAGTTTGTTCTAAAAAGGCGACTCATCTGGACAAGGGTTATTGGTTTTCTTGCAAGGGTAAGAAGAATGGCTAACTATCTTATAAAAAGTTCAAGGGTTCCTGGGGACTGAATGGTTTTCTCTCTCTCCGCTCATGCCTCACCTGGGACTTATTGTTTGGAATCTAGGACTTACTGTTTGGACCAGAGAGAAGAAGGAACAGTAAATAGGAAGACTCTAAAAGGTTATAGAACAAAAGCAAACTTCAAACAGAGAGAAGAAGACCAGTGACTTTGATCACAGAGACGTAGATTTAGAATTGACTCTTCAACACTTATGGCTCTGATACCTGGAGGGATCTACAGTCAATATTCCCTGATAAAGAAAAAAGTAAAAGAAAAGACAAGTCAAAAGCGAGAATGATAGCTCCAGCAGATAACCCGTGCTTCAACAGTACACATCCACGCATCCAATGCTGCCAACAGTCTGGTAGTATTGATCTATTTAAAGAGGCTTCAGCCTAGTTGTAGTCAGAATGTAACTTAGAATATAATTTTAGTTTTCTTAGTTTCAAAGTTTTCTCTTACTCCCTCGGGAAAACCACCACTGTAAATTATGAGTGCTATCTATTAATAAAATCTTCCAGTCAAGATTTTCTATAAGTTTGCAATTCCAAATTTCAATGTTTTCAATTACACATATTTTCATTTATTCATTACTTTCATTCATGTATAATTTTCGCATATTTTATTTTCTTAGCTTAATTACTATCAGTACGCTTCTCTCTGGCTTCTAGATCCCTTTTGGTATCAGAGCCATAAGTGTTGAAGAGTAATTTCTAAATCTGCGTCTTTGTGTTCAAAGTCACTGGTCTTCTTCTCTGTGTTTCAAGTTTGCTTTTATTCTGTAGCCTTTCAAAGTCTTCCTGTTTACTGTTCCTTTTTCTCTTTGGTCCAAACAATAAGTCCTAGATTCCAAACAATAAGTCCCAGGTGAGGCATGAGCGGATGTGGCATAAGCGGAGAGAGGGAAAACCCTTCAGTCCCCAAGAACCCTTGAACCCATTATAGGATAGTTAGCCATTCTTCTTACCCTTGTAAGAGAACCAATCACCCTTGTCCAGATGAGTCGCCCCTTTAGAAGAAACTCTTGTAACAATAGCAACTCTAGAGCCAGTATTAGTAAACTCCCAGAAATAGTTAATGAAGAACAAATAGAATATGAATCTAGTAATGAAATAGACTATAAAGATTGGAATATCCCCAAAATTCCTACTACAGAAATTTGTAAGAAAAAATGGTCATTCTCAAGTTTCAAAAGTACAACCCATGTGAATACGGTCGAACAAGTCTATGCCTTAAGTAAAGAACACGAAACATGTCAATTATTAAATCTCGACTCAATAAAGAAACATAAGAATGTTGGAAACAATTTCCTTCATATTGGTCTCGTCCAAGTTGCAGTCAAACCCCTTACCAGATTAGGACTAAATGCCTCTATTTTACTTTGCCTACGCGATGCCAGATTCACCAACTTTAGTGATAGTACCTTAGGAATAATTGGGTCAAGCTTATTTAATGGTCCAATTCATTTCGATTGTTACCCAGATTTTACAGTAAGCCTTAGTGATCCTCACATATTGAAAACTCTAACATTAAATATTAAAACTTTAGGGTATAAAGTCCTACCAGGTACCCAACCTTTAGCTTTAGTCTATAGAACTTATTATAAAGTCACAAGAACCAATATGAATTTCCAAGCCCTTAACAAAAGTCCAAAAGACCAAACCTTGCTCATTCAAAGTAGTAAAGCTTATGCTAATATAAGAGTTCCCCATACAATCAAATGGTCATAAATCACTCTACCTCTCGATTGGACACTAATCACCAAAAATCAACCTGCTTCCATTCAACATAGTTTAAATAATTTAGATTATATTCAACAATACTTGGACGGCACAATTAAAATTAATTTTGGAAATTAACCCCCTCAAAAGTCTTCAGTTCAATTACACCAACTCCCAACACCTGGTCAATCCCTAAGACATACTCCTGCTAGGCATTACTTTGCGACCTCTTCTTCTACTCTAGAAAGAGACCTAGAGTTAGAAAAAACTTTAATTGATTTAAAATTAGAATCTTTAAGAAAAACTTCCCAAGTGAACCATCCGTGTTATGGTAAGAAACCAATTAAAGAAGATGAAAAATCATATTCTCCAGATTCCCCCACACAAACTGATTTGAAGCTGAAGCCATCCCTGTAGATAACCAGTTACGAACCCTCAATAAAGAATTTAAAATTGATTAGGAAAATCTTAAACAGTCATTTAAATGCCCCAGAAAATCTAGTCAGAAGAAATAATTATCACACAGTCTACCCAGATAAAGAACAAAGACAACAAATCTTTAATGAGTGGAAAAATTTTATGGAAAGAACTAAGTCAGAATTTTCGACCTTGATTTTGTTGAAAGTCACTACATGCCCAAAGAGTTAAACACTTTAACACAAGAAAACTGGAAAAGAGAAGATAACACTGAAGTCATAGCCAGCCACCCCCTGGTAGAAACAATAATTATTGGTCATAAAAATGCTAACATCACAGCCAGTCCCTTTAAAATTCCTGAGCAAAATGACAAAAAATTAGTTCAGCATCTTTTTCTAAAACATGTTTTGCACTTTTACAATCAACTCTCACTGAAAAATTTTGATTTAGTAAAATCATCTTGAAATTTTGTAATGCATAATACTATAGATGATATTTCTTTCTTAATAGTACTATAATTATATTGTGATTGTGACCAGATTCCAGAATGAAAACGAATAATTTGTTCTGGCTGATTTGGAATGACTCTTTGTTTGAGAATGCCTCCATAACTTATTTCTGAAGCATCAGTTTCAACTATCTTGAAAGAATTAACTGAAGGAATTCCGAGACAAGGTAATGTTTTGACATGAATCTTTATCTGTTTGACAATCTCTGTATGACTAGGAGTCCAAGGGGGAGGATTATTTTGAAGTCTGTCAAACAAGGGCTTGCATTGTTTTCTCAAATTCTGATAGAAATTAGAGACATAATTAAGAGAACCTAGGAATCTTTGGAGTTGACTCTTATCAAATCTTTAGAGTTGATTGTAAAAGTGCAAAACATGTTTTAGAAAAAGATGTTCAAAATATTGCTTCAAAACTGATTTTTGCACGATGGCAAGCTATTTTAAGTATTTTTTATTTTAATATAGAATATCTGAGAGGAAGTGAGAATCCATTCCAGATTTTCTCACCAGGGAATTCTTACAGGGGAAACAATGGCGGCAAAAAGACCCGATAAACAAAAAGAACCAATCAGTCAACCCCAGTCACTCAGAATACTTCCAGCATCAATGAATCCGGTCAAGTCAGAGTCTCCTTCCCAGATTGTCCCATTCCCGGGATGTTCCCCAATTCAAATAACCAACAGGTTCTCCAGTTTAGGGACCACAGTCGCCCGAATTATTAGTCAGCTTTAATTTTCAGTTATGATCCCTTCCAAGTCAGTACCCAAGTCACCCGATCCCCAGTACCTTTACGCAAGTCATCCCCTTATTCCTCAAAAAGTTCTACCCATCTTTTCGTCTTTGAATCCATCTATGACAACATTGCCAACCCAGTCACAATTGCAAAAGCCTACTTTCCCCCAAATTTTCATTATGTTCTCCAAAAGTCCATATAAATCCCTCAAATATTACAAAGATATCCTCAATGAAACCCAGTCAGTCGAAATTAAGCCAATCAAATATCGCAATAATCCCCACATCATACTTTACCATTCTTTATACATTCACCAAATCTCGAGCCAAGAAGAATGGGGTAAACACCCTTATGATCTAAAAACTCTCCAGTCAACCCTCCAATATTGTTATTATGACTACATTGAAGTCTGGTATACTATTTTCCTTCATCAAACAGTTGACTTCAGTCACTCATGGTTCATTAATTTCGATAGTAAATTCAAAAGTCCCTTTCCCTTCTGGTTTCTCCACTGGTGGGAAAAACACGATCCAGTCATTGATCTTTTTCCACCTCAATTACAAGATTCAGTTAATTATTTTTCCAATAAATATAAATTCGAAGAATCGGAATTATTTTTCCCCAATCTCCTTATATTTGTGGCCAAATTCAAAGTCCCTGGATCTTAAAATGGTCTTACCAAGTTAATTGGGACTCTCGAGTCTTATCTCGACAATTTTCAATCAAGTGGTGGGATAAATTCAAAATTGAAAGAATTATTGATCAAGTCAACATTGAGTTTCCTCTAGTGAAAACTTTCCAAAAGCCCTCTTCTTCTGGCACATCTCATGCTTCCCTCCCAATCGAAGGAAGATCAAAGTCAGAATTACAAGAAATTGCCAGACAATTGATAATTCAAGCTCACAAATGGATGATGAAGAAGATGATAATGATGCTTCTCCAAAATCCCAATCTTCCACTAGTCAGCCTCAAATACCATCAAGTCAGAAGACCTCCTCCCAAAAGATGCGGGTGGGCAGATTATCAAGATAGTCAAGATCCTTATGATCTTAGTTCAGACTAAAGAAAAGCTCAAACTGTCAATATTCTCCGACAGTCATCATAAAAGAAAGAAAGTTAGCATGCTTCTACAGTCAATATTCTCTAATAAAGAAGAAAGACAAGTCCTAGCAAGTATTCCGTGCCTCAATAGTAATATTTTAAGTATCCAATATTGCCGACACTCTTTGATACGGCCCTTTAAATAGAGGCTTTGGCTTCATGTTAATGTATGGTTTTTACTATTTTCTTTTGGCTTCCCTTGACAACTTTGTAATAGGATGTGTGTTGTTATTTATCAAGCTCAAGTTTAGATTAAGGAAAACCTTTCTTGGTGCTCTTCTCTAACTTCTGCTGTATGGAGGTTCATGCAATTTGACAAAGGTATTGTGCATTGCATATCATTTCATAAAACAGTCTTCATAAAACTGATGACTAGTCATCCGTTTCTCAGATGACTAGTCATCCTTGCTCTGTAGGATTTCCAGCTGGATAACAAACTGTTTTGTCCTATTCCTCTTTCTCTCTCTCTGCTGCCATCTGGGTTTTCTGACCTAAGGAATTTTTGGCTGTAAAGGCTACGTTTTTGGTCATTTGGTGGTTGTCTCTTTTGGGTGGAAGTTTTGGAAAGTTTGGCTTGCCATCTTTCGCTTCTTCTTCCTCGAGAGAACCATCTTATTTCATCTATGAGTTTTTCCAATTGATTTCTTTTTGAAAAACTGCATTTGAAACACAAATCTGCATCTAGCTACTTAAATCATTCTATCATTTATATCTAGGTCAGATTCAAGATTGATTTCTTCAAGAGTATGGTTTCTTGAAGAAATTGGTCATTCTCCTTTGAATCCAAATTTTGGTTTCGGTTTGTGTTGGAGCTTGCAAGCTAGTGCCATGGGATGAACGAGCTGGAGAAGGAGCTGCCATTGCCATGAAGAACTGAGCTTCAAGCTTTGCTAAGTTGGAGAAGAAGATTGCACAAAGGAGGTATAGCTCATCTTCCTAAATAGATCTAGGTTTTTCTTGAGCTTGCTTGTGTTCCTTTGTAAGAATCTTTTTCTACTTAGTGGATTGCCTGGTCGGTTGATGACCCCCAGTTTTTCCCAATGGTGGGTTTCTGGGTAAACAGTTTCTGGTTTCCAACTCTGTAAATTTTCTGGGTTTGTGTTCTTGACAGTTGACTAGTCATCTGGGTTTGTGCAGTTGACTAGTCATCTTTTCTGCTGTTTGGTGTTTGCTTGATTCTGCTGTTTGGTCTTCACACACTTTCACCATAGTTGTTGCTAGCACATGGGATGCCTAGATTGACGGGTCCTTCTGAGTGCCTAGGTTGTCACTAGTAATTCTCTAGGCTTGCAGGTACATCTTGGTGTGCTCTGTGTATGTTATTGTTTGGTATAATTCATATATGACAGTTGACTAGTCATAAGAGTATTTGGTCAAGGTCTAGAGTGTGTGAAGTTTGCTGCGTTCTTGGTTGAATATCTTTTAAATTTACCCCTCGTCACCTAAGTACCATTTCAATTGGTATCAGAGCACCAGCTCTTAATATAAATAGAGAGATCCTTTGGGTGCTAATTGGTATTAGGTTTGCAAACATAAAAATGGACCAAATTGCTCCTTGCATTCATGATGAGCTTGCCTGTTTGTTCAGAAATATAGAAGGGTTGTCAAAGGTAAAACCAAAGTCACTAGGAATTGTCAAAATCTTCCTAGCTCGTCTACATGTGTGTCTCAAGACAATGTTTTTAAGGAGATGAATTTTTTGGACTCTTATGGCTTTAGGGAGGACAAAAGTTTGAAGGGTCTTGTAAAGTGCTATCTATGTGGTGGTGTGGTCACACTGATGTGGAATGTGCAAATAACCACATGATAGAGTCTAATGGGAGAGAAGAGTCAATTAGTGCACAATGGAGTGATAGTGATAGTGTTGATTCCAATAACTATATCACTTCATCTTTTGAAGAGACAAATAATTTTGCCCTTGTTGGTTCTGTTCATAACTCTAGCATTGCTAGAGTTCATGTAGTTAAGGAAGGAAAATCTGATTCAAAAAATGAATCTGTGTCTGGAGATGATAGGCAGGATGACCAGTCATACAGGAAACAGGATGACCAGTCATACCTGGGTATGTGTGAAAAGTATGATGTCCTTTTTACTGAAACTTCCAAGCTTAAGGAAAGAAATTTCCTACTTGAAAGGAAGGTAAAGAACCTGGAAATTCTTAATTTGCACTTTTAAAGAAGCAAATAATGAATTGAGTGAAAATATTGAGACCTTGAAGAGTGAAAAGGATTCATTGATTGTCATTAAAAATGACATTTCAAACCAATTGAATGTGCTCAAGGAAAACAACTTGGTTTTCCATGCCTCCAACAAGAATTTGTTGACTCAGATAAATGAGGCAAATGACATGGTGATCAAGCTTACCATAGGGCTAAAAAGGTGGATAAAATGTTGAATATGGGTAAGGTTCATGGAGACAAAATTGCTTTTGGTTATGGTTGTTCTAGTTCATATGCCCCTCCTCATTTGACCACATTTGTCAAGGAGTCAAATACAAAGTTTGATGTTTTAGAGCCAACTAGGACTCAAAGATTCATTCCTACTTGTTACCATTGTGGTGTGAAAGGTCATATTCGACCTAGGGTGTAATGCTCTAAGGAATGTGTCTAGAGCAACCGATGCAAATGGCTTTAAGAACCATATTTCATTTCTTAAAACATGTGAGCTTGCAAAATCTGTTTTGTACAAGAGATAAACATTTTTCACTTGCAAAATTTGGTTTTCAACAACCAAAAAGGTTCATTCCTATATGCCATCATTGTGGCACATTAGGACACATTAGACCAAAGTGTTTTGAGCTTAGGAATTTTGAGCAAAAACCTTTTGTTCATTTCAAGAAAGTAAATGATGACTCACTTCAAACTCAAGTGAATGATCTTCTTTATAAAGTTGTCAAAATTCCTACAGTGTTCTCTTTGCCTCATGAAGTCTCAAAAGTAAAGCAGTTTGGATCAAGAAGGAAGACCATGTTCTTCCTCATGTTTGGTGACTAGTTTCTTCATCTTATGTATCTAGACCATTCTCTTGTTTGTGTGTGCTTCATGGAGTCTAGATACATTGTCATGCATTTGCACCTTGTTCTTTTGTTTGATTAGGATTCATTGTTTTTTTTTTTTTATTTTTATGGTCATTGGTCATTGCATGTCTTTTCAATCATCTCTCTCACAGTGCTTTGAATCTTGGGTGATCAACAAATTTCATGTTCTTTTGAACTTGTTCACATTTATCTTGTTGATCTTGTCCAAACCTCTTTCCTTGTTGGCAAGGAATACATCCTAGCAATTGTAGATGACTTCTTTGGGTTTATTTGGGTCTTATTCTTGCTTGAAAAATCAGAAACCTTTCAAAGGTTTAAATCTGTCTGCCACTTTTTACAAAAAGTTAAGATGACTAGTCATCTGCCTCTTGTTAGAATTAGAACAGATCATGGTTTTGAGTTTGAGAATTCTCAGTTTCTGAAATTTTGTGAGGAGATGGGAATTAAGCATGAGTTCTCTGCACCTATTACACCTCAGCAAAATGGTGTTATGAAAAAAAAATATAGAGTTCTTGTTGAGATGGTTAGGATGATGCTCAATAGCAAAAATTTTGCTAAATATTTTGAGGTAAAGTTGTAAATACAGCTTGTTGCATCTCAGACAGGGAGTTTTTGAGGTATGGTGCCAAACAAACTCCCTATGTGCTTTGGAAAGGTAAGAAACCCAATGTGTCTTATTTTAGAGTCTTTGGTAGAACCATGTTTTATCTTAAGAAATTGGGAACACCTTGCTAAGTTTGACTTTAAAAGTGACAACAGATTTTTCTTGGGTATTCCACTTCAAGCCAAGCCTCTAGAGTATACAATTATAGGTCCGAAACCATCATGTCAATATTGATGACTTTGCTGCCTCTACTGAGATGGCATTAGATGAGGATGGTCTTTTATCTTCTATGCTTGAGGGAGAATCTTCAGGTTTGGATCTAGTGGTTGACCTGTCAACCTTTAGCAAATCGGTTTGACCAGTCAACTCTTGACAATTCTATTCTAGTTGACCTGTCAACTTGTCATAATTATCTCAGAATCCCAGCTCATCTGTCTTTGTTGAAAACACTCTATAGAAGCATGATAGGAAGCCTTCTCTACTTGACTGCAAGAATACCTGACATTTCCTATAGTGTAAGGGTTTTGTGCTAGGTTCCAAATGTGATCCCAAAGAGTCTCATTTGTTTGCTATCAAAAGAATCATAAAATATGTGAGTAGAACTTTCGAGTTGGGGTTGTGGTATAATTATGACACTTGTGTCAATCATTGGGTATAGTGATGCCGATTGGGCAGGTTGTAGTGATGATAGGAAAAGTACTTCTGCGGGAGGTCTTTTATGTAGGCAACAACCTAGTTGCTTTGCATAGCAAAAAAACAGAACTCTATCTCCTTATCACTACTGAAGCAGAGTATGTGCAGCTGGGAGTTGTTGCACTCAACTCCTTTGGATGAGATAATGTTGGAAGACTATGGTCTTGCTCAATCATGCTTTCTAATCTATTGTGACAACATGAGTGCCATAGATATTTCTAAAAATCTGTTCAATGCTCTAGGGACTAAGCATATAGATATTAAGCACCATTTTATTAGAGATCTTGTGGAAGACAAAATTCTCTTTGGAATTTGTTCCCTCTGAGAAACAGCTAGCAAATATACTTACCAAGGCCTTGGACTTTCAGAAACATGTCAAACTTAGGTAGTCCATTGGCCTTTGCTCAATTGATTGATTAGCTTGTCGTTCCTATCTTCAGCACATTGCAGAACTGTTGACTAGTCATCTACTAGTCAAATATAAATTTTGTTTACTTGGTGTGCAAATGTCAAAAACATCTGTTCTTCTGATTTCTGATGGTGTGAAGTTGAATCATTTTATGCTTTGCCTGATTTGTGCATAATTCCCCCTTCTAGTTTGGAGCCATTAGATGACATTTTTTTTTGTGTTTTTACGTCCTATTGGTGAGACAAGTGTTGTGATACATTGTGGACAATCATGTTATAATCTCCTATCTTATCTCACTCTCTTAGGCAATTTGTTAAAACAAAAAATAATTAAAAAAAAAAAAAAAAGGGAAGTGTGACCAAGTAGTCACGACTCTAGGAAGGTATAAGGTGATATGATTGAAGAATCTAGAGCAAGAGCCGCAAAATTGGGCCACTCAAGCACTTAAGTCTGGGATGTGCAAATAACAACAACAATAAATGGCCAGATTGAGTGATGAAAATCAAATAGGTTGAATCTATGCTTTGACTTTGTCTTGAAGGTTCATTATATACTTGTCTCTCCAAGAGTGATATTTTTCATCTCTTGTGTTTTTCTTTTGGCTTGAACCTCCTCTGTCCATCTTGCCTTATCTCTGAGCATGAAATCTAAATCATATTCTATCTATCAGAGTTAGTTGCATTGTTTTGTTTGCACATGGGGTTATCCTCTCTCTTTCTTTACTTACTGTGCTTGAAGACTTGGGACTAGGCTATAATAGCTAATACATCCTTGATCACTTGATATATTTGCTAGTTCATGTTTGGGTTTTAAAACCAAAATCATGTCTTCTTCAGGTCGATACTAAAATTGCTGCTTGTTATGTTTGCTTGTCTTGACTAGTCAACATATGCTCATGCTGATTGTGGTTGACTAGTCATCCAGTTATGCTTGTTATGATATTGCCTTGGTTGACTAGTCAACTTATGCTCCCACGATTATGATTGACTATCATCTGCTTAATAGGTTTCTTGTGCCTTTTGGTGAAATTTATTTTCACTCGTAAGAAAGACCATTGGTTATGAAACAAAGCACAAAGGCGCTCCTTGTCTCATTTACACTTATGTTGAACATTGGTATTGTGTTTATGTATGATAGTGTTTGGATGATGCCACTTTGGTCTATGACCAATCATCTTAATAAGTTGTGTTCCAACGTTCAATGATTTAGCCTAACATAATTCTTTGAAATCCTTACGAGAGTTTGCTGTGCTATATGAGTTTGGATTGTTGGCTAATTTATTTTGTTGGGGGAGTTTTCTTTGAGATGCATGTGTTTGGCAACATTCTTGCTGGTTGTTTTTATCATTTTCATACATCAATGTTGCCTTTCTAAGCCTTATCTCGATTGATTGCTCTCTTTGTTCTTGGCTATGTCTATGAGGTTGTTGGTCTTTTGATGCCACCTCAATTTAGACTGCGTGACTAGTCCGTTTCACTAGTCCACTCTCTTCTTCTTGTGTTTTGGAAAGCTGGGTTGGGTTTTTTGGACAACCTAGAGACTTATTTCTTGTGCTCTTTCTCACATGTCCTCAATTTTGAGCAAAAATTTAGGGTTCATCTTGCTTGGTGCTTTCTTCAAATTTGACAATGATTGATGCCTTAAATTTTGAAATCTTGGTGCTTTGTCTTGATTTTGCACTACGTTGTGTAAATAAAAATTCATTGGTTGTCCCTTGTTTTGATAAAATATGTTGCTTTAAACTTTGTCTTTTTAGGGGAGTTTCTTTATGTGTAATGTGTACCGTTGAAATTCAATTCAGCCACTTGATTTTAATTGCTTTAGGTATGATTCCTTGCAACTTGTGCTCCATTTCTTATTCTTTTAGCTTGATGCACTTTTGTGTTTGTTGGTATTTATGGAAAGTTTGCTGAATCAGTACGTCAAAGGGTTATGTCCTTTATGTTATATGACACTCAAGGGAAGTATGTTTTCTAAAAGGGGTGTTTTGCTTTAGGAAGAGTAATTTGGACAGGTTGTGCATGTTGATAGGGGGAGTTGTTTTTGTAATCACATTGTGGGTAGTCTGCATTTTGATAGGGGAGTTCTTCTGTCCTGTTTTGAACAACTGGTATTTGATAGTCATCAATCTATGTTCTGTACTGTTTGAACAACTGTTATTTGACTGGTCATCAATCTATGTTATGTGCTGTTAACCTTGTTCATATCTGCCTATCCTTTTGTGGTTAATTCCTTTGTATGTTGTTTCTATCTCTCTGCCTTTTTGCACTTTCCTTATCAACAAGGGGGAGAACACTCTCAACCCCACATCACATATTGTTTTAAAAATTCTGTGATAATGCTTGTGTGTGTGCCTAAAGATTGGTGGTCTCTTGCAGGTACCTTCACTCCATCATCTCCTAGTCTCAGTTTTGGGTTGAGTGTTTTTAGAGAGTGTGTTGTCAAGGAAAGCCAAAAAGGGGGAGATTGTTAATGTATGGTTTTTACTATTTTCTTTTGGCTTCCCTTGACAACTTTGTAATAGGATGTGTGTTGTTATTTATCAAGCTCAAGTTTAGATTAAGGAAAACCTTTCTTGGTGCTCTTCTCTAACTTCTGCTGTATGGAGGTTCATGCAATTTGACAAAGGTATTGTGCATTGCATATCATTTCATAAAACAGTCTTCATAAAACTGATGACTAGTCATCCGTTTCTCAGATGACTAGTCATCCTTGCTCTGTAGGATTTCCAGCTGGATAACAAACTGTTTTGTCCTATTCCTCTTTCTCTCTCTCTGCTGCCATCTGGGCTTTCTGACCTAAGGAATTTTTTGGCTGTAAAGGCTACGTTTTTGGTCATTTGGTCGTTGTCTCTTTTGGGTGGAAGTTTTGGAAAGTTTGGCTTGCCATCTTTCGCTTCTTCTTCCTCGAGAGAACCATCTTATTTCATCTATGAGTTTTTCCAATTGATTTCTTTTTGAAAAACTGCATTTGAAACACAAATCTGCATCTAGCTACTTAAATCATTCTATCATTTATATCTAGGTCAGATTCAAGATTGATTTCTTCAAGAGTATGGTTTCTTGAAGAAATTGGTCATTCTCCTTTGAATCCAAATTTTGGTTTCGGTTTGTGTTGGAGCTTGCAAGCTAGTGCCATGGGATGAACGAGCTGGAGAAGGAGCTGCCATTGCCATGAAGAACTGAGCTTCAAGCTTTGCTAAGTTGGAGAAGAAGATTGCACAAAGGAGGTATAGCTCATCTTCCTAAATAGATCTAGGTTTTTCTTGAGCTTGCTTGTGTTCCTTTGTAAGAATCTTTTTCTACTTAGTGGATTGCCTGGTCGGTTGATGACCCCCAGTTTTTCCCAATGGTGGGTTTCTGGGTAAACAGTTTCTGGTTTCCAACTCTGTAAATTTTCTGGGTTTGTGTTCTTGACAGTTGACTAGTCATCTGGGTTTGTGCAGTTGACTAGTCATCTTTTTCTGCTGTTTGGTGTTTGCTTGATTCTGCTGTTTGGTCTTCACACACTTTCACCATAGTTGTTGCTAGCACATGGGATGCCTAGATTGACGGGTCCTTCTGAGTGCCTAGGTTGTCACTAGTAATTCTCTAGGCTTGCAGGTACATCTTGGTGTGCTCTGTGTATGTTATTGTTTGGTATAATTCATATATGACAGTTGACTAGTCATAAGAGTATTTGGTCAAGGTCTAGAGTGTGTGAAGTTTGCTGCGTTCTTGGTTGAATATCTTTTAAATTTACCCCTCGTCACCTAAGTACCAATTTCAATTGGTATCAGAGCACCAGCTCTTAATATAAATAGAGAGATCCTTTGGGTGCTAATTGGTATTAGGTTTGCAAACATAAAAATGGACCAAATTGCTCCTTGCATTCATGATGAGCTTGCCTTGTTTGTTCAGAAATATAGAAGGGTTGTCAAAGGTAAAACCAAAGTCACTAGGAATTGTCAAAATCTTCTTAGCTCGTCTACATGTGTGTCTCAAGACAATGTTTTTAAGGAGATGAATTTTTTGGACTCTTATGGCTTTAGGGAGGACAAAAGTTTGAAGGGTCTTGTAAAGTGCTATCTATGTGGTGGTGCTGGTCACACTGATGTGGAATGTGCAAATAACCACATGATAGAGTCTAATGGGAGAGAAGAGTCAATTAGTGCACAATGGAGTGATAGTGATAGTGTTGATTCCAATAACTATATCACTTCATCTTTTGAAGAGACAAATAATTTTGCCCTTGTTGGTTCTGTTCATAACTCTAGCATTGCTAGAGTTCATGTAGTTAAGGAAGGAAAATCTGATTCAAAAAATGAATCTGTGTCTGGAGATGATAGGCAGGATGACCAGTCATACAGGAAACAGGATGACCAGTCATACCTGGGTATGTGTGAAAAGTATGATGTCCTTTTTACTGAAACTTCCAAGCTTAAGGAAAGAAATTTCCTACTTGAAAGGAAGGTAAAGAACCTGGAAATTCTTAATTGCACTTTTAAAGAAGCAAATAATGAATTGAGTGAAAATATTGAGACCTTGAAGAGTGAAAAGGATTCATTGATTGTCATTAAAAATGACATTTCAAACCAATTGAATGTGCTCAAGGAAAACAACTTGGTTTTCCATGCCTCCAACAAGAATTTGTTGACTCAGATAAATGAGGCAAATGACATGGTGATCAAGCTTACCATAGGGGCTAAAAAGGTGGATAAAATGTTGAATATGGGTAAGGTTCATGGAGACAAAATTGCTTTTGGTTATGGTTGTTCTAGTTCATATGCCCCTCCTCATTTGACCACATTTGTCAAGGAGTCAAATACAAAGTTTGATGTTTTAGAGCCAACTAGGACTCAAAGATTCATTCCTACTTGTTACCATTGTGGTGTGAAAGGTCATATTCGACCTAGGTGTAATGCTCTAAGGAATGTGTCTAGAGCAACCGATGCAAATGGCTTTAAGAACCATATTTCATCTCTTAAAACATGTGAGCTTGCAAAATCTGTTATTTGTACAAGAGATAAACATTTTTCACTTGCAAAATTTGGTTTTCAACAACCAAAAAGGTTCATTCCTATATGCCATCATTGTGGCACATTAGGACACATTAGACCAAAGTGTTTTGAGCTTAGGAATTTTGAGCAAAAACCTTTTGTTCATTTCAAGAAAGTAAATGATGACTCACTTCAAACTCAAGTGAATGATCTTCTTTATAAAGTTGTCAAAATTCCTACAGTGTTCTCTTTGCCTCATGAAGTCTCAAAAGTAAAGCAAGTTTGGATCAAGAAGGAAGACCATGTTCTTCCTCATGTTGGTGACTAGTTTCTTCATCTTATGTATCTAGACCATTCTCTTGTTTGTGTGTGCTTCATGGAGTCTAGATACATTGTCATGCATTTGCACCTTGTTCTTTTGTTTGATTAGGATTCATTTGTTTTAATTTTTTTTTAAATATGGTCATTGCATGCATGTCTTTCAATCATCTCTCTCACAGTGCTTTGAATCTTGGGTGATCAACAAAATTTCATGTTCTTTTGAACTTGTTCACATTTATCTTGTTGATCTTGTCCAAACCTCTTTCCTTGTTGGCAAGGAATACATCCTAGCAATTGTAGATGACTTCTTTGGGTTTATTTGGGTCTTATTCTTGCTTGAAAAATCAGAAACCTTTCAAAGGTTTAAATCTGTCTGCCACTTTTTACAAAAAGTTAAGATGACTAGTCATCTGCCTCTTGTTAGAATTAGAACAGATCATGGTTTTGAGTTTGAGAATTCTCAGTTTCTGAAATTTTGTGAGGAGATGGGAATTAAGCATGAGTTCTCTGCACCTATTACACCTCAGCAAAATGGTGTTATGAAAAAAAAATATAGAGTTCTTGTTGAGATGGTTAGGATGATGCTCAATAGCAAAAATTTTGCTAAATATTTTTGAGGTAAAGCTGTAAATACAGCTTGTTGCATCTCAGACAGGGAGTTTTTGAGGTATGGTGCCAAACAAACTCCCTATGTGCTTTGGAAAGGTAAGAAACCCAATGTGTCTTATTTTAGAGTCTTTGGTAGCACATGTTTTATCTTAAGAAATTGGGAACACCTTGCTAAGTTTGACTTTAAAAGTGACAACAGATTTTTTCTTGGGTATTCCACTTCAAGCCGAGCCTCTAGAGTATACAATTATAGGTCCGAAACCATCATGTCAATATTGATGACTTTGCTGCCTCTACTGAGATGGCATTAGATGAGGATGGTCTTTTATCTTCTATGCTTGAGGGAGAATCTTCAGGTTTGGATCTAGTGGTTGACCTGTCAACCTTTAGCAAATCGGTTGACCAGTCAACTCTTGACAATTCTGTTCCAGTTGACCTGTCAACTTGTCATAATTATTCTCAGAATCCCAGCTCATCTGTCTTTGTTGAAAACTCTCTATAGAAGCATGATAGGAAGCCTTCTCTACTTGACTGCAAGAAGACCTGACATTTCCTATAGTGTAAGGGTTTTGTGCTAGGTTCCAAAGTGATCCCAAAGAGTCTCATTTGTTTGCTGTCAAAAGAATCATAAAATATGTGAGTAGAACTTTTGAGTTTGGGTTGTGGTATACCTATGACACTTGTGTCAATCTTATTGGGTATAGTGATGCCGATTGGACAGGTTGTAGTGATGATAGGAAAAGCACTTCCGGGGAGGTCTTTTATGTAGGCAACAACCTAGTTGCTTTGCATAGCAAAAAACAGAACTCTATCTCCTTATCCACTACTGAAGCAGAGTATGTTGCAGCTGGGAGTTGTTGCACTCAACTCCTTTGGATGAGATAAATGTTGGAAGACTATGGTCTTGCTCAATCATGCTTTCTAATCTATTGTGACAACATGAGTGCCATAGATATTTCTAAAAATCCTGTTCAATGCTCTAGGACTAAGCATATAGATATTAAGCACCATTTTATTAGAGATCTTGTGGAAGACAAAATTCTATCTTTGGAATTTGTTCCCTCTGAGAAACAGCTAGCAGATATACTTACCAAGGCCTTGGACTTTCAGAAACATGTCACACTTAGGTAGTCCATTGGCCTTTGCTCAATTGATTGATTAGCTTGTCTGTTCCTTATCTTCAGCACATTGCAGAACTGTTGACTAGTCATCTACTAGTCAAATATAAATTTTTGTTTACTTGGTGTGCAAATGTCAAAAACATCTGTTTCTTCTGATTTCTGATGGTGTGAAGTTTGAATCATTTTATGCTTTGCCTGATTTGTGCATAATTCCCCCCTTCTAGTTTGGAGCCATTAGATGACATTTTTTTTTGTGTTTTTACGTCCTATTGGTGAGACAAGTGTTGTGATACATTGTGGACAATCATTGTTATAATCTCCTATCTTATCTCACTCTCTTAGGCAATTTAAAAAAAAAAAAAAAAAAAAAAAAAAAAAAAAAAAAGAAGTGTGACCAATGTAGTCACGACTCTAGGAAGGTATAAGGTGATATGATTGAAGAATCTAGAGCAAGAGCCGCAAAATTGGGCCACTCAAGCACTTAAGTCTGGGATGTGCAAATAACAAACATAATAAATGGCCAGATTGAGTGATGAAAATCAAATAGGTTGAATCTATGCTTTGACTTTGTCTTGAAGGTTCATTATATACTTGTCTCTCCAAGAGTGATATTTTTTCATCTCTTGTGTTTTTCTTTTGGCTCTGAACCTCCTCTGTCCATCTTGCCTTATCTCTGAGCATGAAATCTAATTCATATTCTATCTATCAGAGTTAGTTGCAATTGTTTTGTTTGCACATGGGGTTATCCTCTCTCTTTCTTACTTACTGTGCTTGAAGACTTGGACTAGGCTATAATAGCTAATACATCGTTGATCACTTGATATATTTGCTAGTTCATGTTTGTGGTTTTAAAACCAAAATCATGTCTTCTTCAGGGTCGATACTAAAATTGCTGCTTGTTATGTTATTGCTTGTGTTGACTAGTCAACATATGCTCATGCTGATTGTGGTTGACTAGTCATCCAGTTATGCTTGTTATGATATTGCCTTGGTTGACTAGTCAACTTATGCTCCCACTGATTATGATTGACTAGTCATCTGCTTAATAGGTTTCTTGTGCCTTTTGGTGAAATTAATTTTCACTCTCTAAGAAAGACCATTGGTTATGAAACAAAGCACAAAGGCGCTCCTTGTCTCATTTACACCTTATGTTCGAACATTGGTATTGTGTTTATGTATGATCGTGTTTGGATGATGCCACGTTGGTCTATGACCAATCATCTTAATAAGTTGTGTTCCAACGTTCAATGATTTAGCCTAACATAATTCTTGAAATCCTTACGAGTTTGCTGTGCTATATGAGTTTTGGATTGTTGGCTAATTTATTTTGTTGGGGGAGTTTCTTTGAGATGCATGTGTTTTGGCAACATTCTTGCTGGTTGTTTTTATCATTTTCATACATCAATGTTGCCTTTCTAAGCCTTATCTCGATTGATTTGCTCTCTTTTGTTCTTGGCTATGTCTATGAGGTTGTTGGTCTTTTGATGCCACCTCAAATTTAGACATGCGTGACTAGTCCGTTTCACTAGTCCACTCTCTTCTTCTTGTGCTTTTTGGAAAGCTGTGTTGGGTTTTTTTGGACAACCTAGAGACTTATTTCTTGTGCTCTTTCTCACATGTCCTCAATTTTGAGCAAAAATTTAGGGTTCATCTTGCTTGGTGCTTTCTTCAAATTTGACAATGATTGATGCCTTAAATTTTGAAATCTTGGTGCTTTGTCTTGATTTTGCACTACGTTGTGTAAAGAAAAATTCATTGGTTGTCCCTTGTTTTGATAAATATGTTGCTTAAACTTTGTCCTTTTAGGGGAGTTTCTTTATGTGTAATGTGTACACGTTGAAATTCAATTCAGCCACTTGATTTTAATTGCTTTAGGTATGATTCCTTGCAACTTGTGCTCCATTTCTTATTCTTTTTAGCTTGATGCACTTTTGTGTTTGTTGGCTATTTATGGAAAGTTTGCTGAATCAGTACGTCAAAGGTTATGTCCTTTATGTTATATGATACTCAAGGGGAAGTATGTTTTCTAAAGGGGTGTTTTGCTTTAGGAAGAGTAATTCTGGACAGGTTGTGCATGTTGATAGGGGGAGTTGTTTTTGTAATCACATTGTGGGTAGTCAGTGCATTTTGATAGGGGGAGTTCTTCTGTCCTGTTTTGAACAACTGGTATTTGACTAGTCATCAATCTATGTTCTGTACTGTTTTGAACAACTGTTATTTGACTGGTCATCAATCTATGTTATGTGCTGTTAACCTTGTTCATATCTGCCTATCCTTTTGTGGTTAATTCCTTTGTATGTTGTTTCTATCTCTCTGCCTTTTTGCACTTTCCTTATCAACAAGGGGGAGAACACTCTCAACCCCACATCGCATATTGTTTTAAAAATTCTGTGATAATATGCTTGTTTTTGTGCCTGGAAGATTGGTTGTTCTTGCAGGTACCTTCACTCCATCATCTCCTTAGTCTCAGTTTTGGGTTGAGTGTTTTTAGAGAGTGTGTTGTCAAGGAAAGCCAAAAAGGGGGAGATTGTTAATGTATGGTTTTTACTATTTTCTTTTGGCTTCCCTTGACAACTTTGTAATAGGATGTGTGTTGTTATTTATCAAGCTCAAGTTTAGATTAAGGAAAACCTTTCTTGGTGCTCTTCTCTAACTTCTGCTGTATGGAGGTTCATGCAATTTGACAAAGGTATTGTGCATTGCATATCATTTCATAAAACAGTCTTCATAAAACTGATGACTAGTCATCCGTTTCTCAGATGACTAGTCATCCTTGCTCTGTAGGATTTCCAGCTGGATAACAAACTGTTTTGTCCTATTCCTCTTTCTCTCTCTCTGCTGCCATCTGGGCTTTCTGACCTAAGGAATTTTTTGGCTGTAAAGGCTACGTTTTTGGTCATTTGGTGTTGTCTCTTTTGGGTGGAAGTTTTGGAAAGTTTGGCTTGCCATCTTTCGCTTCTTCTTCCTCGAGAGAACCATCTTATTTCATCTATGAGTTTTTCCAATTGATTTCTTTTTGAAAAACTGCATTTGAAACACAAATCTGCATCTAGCTACTTAAATCATTCTATCATTTATATCTAGGTCAGATTCAAGATTGATTTCTTCAAGAGTATGGTTTCTTGAAGAAATTGGTCATTCTCCTTTGAATCCAAATTTTGGTTTCGGTTTGTGTTGGAGCTTGCAAGCTAGTGCCATGGGATGAACGAGCTGGAGAAGGAGCTGCCATTGCCATGAAGAACTGAGCTTCAAGCTTTGCTAAGTTGGAGAAGAAGATTGCACAAAGGAGGTATAGCTCATCTTCCTAAATAGATCTAGGTTTTTCTTGAGCTTGCTTGTGTTCCTTTGTAAGAATCTTTTTCTACTTAGTGGATTGCCTGGTCGGTTGATGACCCCCAGTTTTTCCCAATGGTGGGTTTCTGGGTAAACAGTTTCTGGTTTCCAACTCTGTAAATTTTCTGGGTTTGTGTTCTTGACAGTTGACTAGTCATTTTTTTTTTTTTTTTTTTTTTTTTTTTTTTTTTTTTTTTTTTTTTTTTTTTTTTTTTTTTTTTTTTTTTTTTTTTTTTTTTTTTTTTTTTTTTTTTTTTTTTTTTTTTTTTTTTTTTTTTTTTTTTTTTTTTTTTTTTTTTTTTTTTTTTTTTTTTTTTTTTTTTTTTTTTTTTTTTTTTTTTTTTTTTTTTTTTTTTTTTTTTTTTTTTTTTTTTTTTTTTTTTTTTTTTTTTTTTTTTTTTTTTTTTTTTTTTTTTTTTTTTTTTTTTTTTTTTTTTTTTTTTTTTTTTTTTTTTTTTTTTTTTTTTTTTTTTTTTTTTTTTTTTTTTTTTTTTTTTTTTTTTTTTTTTTTTTTTTTTTTTTTTTTTTTTTTTTTTTTTTTTTTTTTTTTTTTGGAAAGTGTGTTGGGTTTTTTTGGACAACCTAGAGACTTATTTCTTGTGCTCTTTCTCACATGTCCTCAATTTTGAGCAAAAATTTAGGGTTCATCTTGCTTGGTGCTTTCTTCAAATTTGACATGATTGATGCCTTAAATTTTGAAATCTTGGTGCTTTGTCTTGATTTTGCACTACGTTGTGTAAATAAAATTCATTGGTTGTCCCTTGTTTTGATAAATATGTTGCTTAAACTTTGTCTTTTTAGGGGAGTTTCTTTATGTGTAATGTGTACACGTTGAAATTCAATTCAGCCACTTGATTTTAATTGCTTTAGGTATGATTCCTTGCAACTTGTGCTCCATTTCTTATTCTTTTTAGCTTGATGCACTTTTGTGTTTGTTGGTATTTATGGAAAGTTTGCTGAATCAGTACGTCAAAGGTTATGTCCTTTATGTTATATGATACTCAAGGGAAGTATGTTTTCTAAAGGGGTGTTTTGCTTTAGGAAGAGTAATTCTGGACAGGTTGTGCATGTGATAGGGGGAGTTGTTTTTGTAATCACATTGTGGGTAGTCAATGCATTTGATAGGGGAGTTCTTCTGTCCTGTTTTGAACAACTGGTATTTGACTAGTCATCAATCTATGTTCTGTACTGTTTTGAACAACTGTTATTTGACTGGTCATCAATCTATGTTATGTGCTGTTAACCTTGTTCATATCTGCCTATCCTTTTGTGGTTAATTCCTTTGTATGTTGTTTCTATCTCTCTGCCTTTTTGCACTTTCCTTATCAACAAGGGGGAGAACACTCTCAACCCCACATCGCATATTGTTTTAAAAATTCTGTGATAATATGCTTGTTTTTGTGCCTAAAAGATTGGTTGTTCTTGCAGGTA